GACCTTGGGCCAGTTGCTGCCTCTCAGCCTAACCTACCTCACAGGGTTGTTGTGGGGATTAAATGAGGAGAAGTAGGACCATGTACGCCACAATGAGATCCCTGGAGAAAAAGGTAGGATGGAAATGCAACAAACAAACAAAACAACCTAAATTTCTTTCTTTTTTTTTAAAAAAATATATTTATTAAAGTTTCAAAAGAAGAAAAATCACATTAACAAGAAAATTAACAATAAAAAGGAAAAATACAAAATACAAAAAAGAAAAAACAGTTAAAAACAATTCCATCTTTTCATCACTTCTTTTACATTTACTTGTTTCCCGGACCTCCTCATACCTCCCTCTTTTGTATTCCAATTCAATATGTTAATCCAGCAATTCCTTTCCCTCCTTTTTAATCCTAATCTTTAATCTTGATAAATTATAACATTAAATTTTTACATATTAAAAACCAATTTTTCCATATTTTTTTATACCATTACCATTAGAAACCGCTTAACTTCAATCCATCATCATTCTAACATTCATTAATTTTACAATATTTCTGTAAGTAGTCTTTAAATTTCTTCCAATCTTCTTCCACCGACTCTACAACCTAAATTTCCCGATAGGTGACTGAATTCCACCCAAATCATGACTCTCCGAAAATGCCTTTAATCTGCTTTAACTTTTTGCTAAGTGAAACGTATGCTGTCACTGCATATTGTGCAATTGCAATTAAAGCCTTTTTTTTTTTTTTTTTGCTTTTAACATAAAATAAGCTTATTGCTGATAGAAGCCATATCAATATTTCTCTGGGGGCAGGTGCTGGTAACATGATGGAAAACTATGTCAAGATTTCAGGCTATTATAGCATGTTAACTCTTCCTTTTAGAGAGAACACTTTGTACAACTCAGTTGCACACACTTCCTAAAGGTTTGGGCCTGCTCTGCTGGCAGCAAGGAGATCAGATTGTGTGCCTTTCTTATGTCAGCAACAAGCATCCCAAGATTCCTGATGGTTCCCTTCCCCTCGTGGAAATTACCATCTGCAGTAGGTACTTAGGGTTCATTCCAAATTATTCCAAAAAAAGCAACACAAAGCTCTGGTTACCATCTGGTCTCTCTTCAACACATCATGCTTTAGCCATTTATTATACTGTACTCCTGCGGTCCCCACCCTGAACATATGGTCACTCACCCCACTGATAACCCTGCTCAGATGTAGGTGCATAAAAAGGCCTGTTGGTTTGCAGACAGAAGGATCAGTAATAGGGTGAGATTCCAGACCAGGGGGGATCAGCAAACTTTTCCCACTGTCCCTCAGACCTCTTGGGGGCCAGACTAGATTTTGAAGGGGGGGAAAGGAATGAATTCCTATGCCCCACAAATAACCCAGAGGTGCATTTTTAATAAAAGGACACATTCTACTCATGTAAAAACACACTGATTCCCAGACTGTCCACAGGCCAGATTGAGAAGGCAGCCCTGTTTAGGGAAGTTTTTAATATTTAATGCTGTATTGTTTTAACACTTGATTGGAAGCCGCCGAGAGTGGCTGGGGAAACTCAGCCAGATGGGTGGGGTATAAATAAATTATTATTATTATTATTATTATTATTAAATGTGATTGGGCCCAGATCCAGCCCCCGGCCTTAGTTTGCCTACCCATGTTCCAGACTGATGGGCAGGGAAGGTGTTTAAAACACAAGAAGCTGCCCTTAATTCAAAGGTGTGAAAAAGGAAATCCCAGGGGAGAGAGGGCCTCCTTGTTCCCTGTAAAGTAAGATGCAAATGCCACCAACTTGGTTCCTCCATTAGAGATGCAGGCCTAGTTCCCTCCACACACCCACAGTCACATTTCCCTGGGTGTTTTAGTTTAGAGTTTCTGGGCTAAACAGACAGACAGGCTGAGTCTTTGCAATACGATCAAAATCATATTGAGAAGTGGTGCCTGAAACACCACTCTTGTATGTGCAAGGCTGGCCCTACCATTAAACAATCGCCTTAGGTGGGCCCTGACCGACTCCAGCCGTTAACAACCCTGGGTCTAGCTTACCTATGAGATTACCTTACCCCACATGTAAGCCCTCTTGACCGCTTCTATTTCTGGAATTTGCTTCGATTGCTGGAATTTGCTCTAGTGCAGGTGCCACGTAACGCCCACTCCACATTTGTAAGAATTTCACTGCTTAGTGTGGCAGCATCTACCCTTTGGAACTCCCTGCCTCTTGAGATCAAGCAGGCGCCTTCACTTTACTCTTTTCAGTGCCACTGGAGAGCCAGTGTGGTGGAGAGCCAGTGTGGTGTAGTGGTTAAGAGCAGTGGACTCGTAATCTGGGGAACCGGGTTCGCTTCCTCGCTCCTCCACATGCAGCTGCTGGGTGACCTTGGACCAGTCACACTTCTCTGAAGTCTCTCAGCCCCACTCACCTCACAGAGTGTTTGTTGTGGGGGAGGAAGGGAAAGGAGAATGTTAGCTGCTTTGAGACTCCTTAGGGTAGTGATAAAGCGGGATATCAAATCCAAACTCTTCTAGACAAGCCTACCCAAATGCTTCTAAATTTGAAGTAATTTTAATCCATTCTAAACTTTTGTACTGTGAATTTTCTTTCATATTTTTGTAAATATGTAATATGTAAATTTTTGTAAACCCACTCTGAGGTTTTTACAACCCAGCAATGTATAAATTTTTATGAAATAAATAGGTGAAAGCTAGGCCTGGTGAACAGACCCTTGGGCTGAGGCATTGTTCGGGATTTCTTTAGATCACATTATGACTTTTGTGGAAATTGTTTGATCCGGTTGTGTACTTTTTGATCTTTTGTTATTTATGACTACTTCCATTATGTTTGTAATTATGCAAATCTTATGTTGGAAGCCGCCTTTAGCATGGAAAGGCAGCATACAAATACTGTAAATTGGTGATGATGCCCTGAACTCCATAAATTAGTCTTAAGGAAGGAACTGACCATCACTTAGCACGGTTTTATAATGAATGGTCTTGCAGATAATGTGTATTACCTTATTAACTTCAAAATGTGGCAAGCCAGCTCTGCTCTCTTTGAGAACTCTCTTATTCATCCTGCTGAGTGAGGCCCTGGACTTCTGCCCAAAGTCAGGGCCGGCCCAAGGCATTTTGGCACCTGAGGTAGGGTTCCCGGGGACAGTCCCCAGATCTGCAGATCTGTCCCCGGACAAATTCCGTCCCCAAAATGTCCCCAGCTTTGCAAATCTGTTCCCGGGAAACACGGCAGTGGCAGTCTCAGCAGCCCGGAGCCAGCCTGGTAGTGCAGTTGGCTCTGGCAGTTGGCTCTGGCTGGCTTCAGGAGCTGCTCACTGCTGTGGCGCCCACCATTTTTCCTCTCCAGAAGTCCCCATATGATGTATCTTGTGCGCAACCCATCATATGGATGTAGGGGGACAACTTGGAGCAAAGAACCATCACCACAAAATAGCCTTGAAAGTTAGCTATCATGACATCAAATCAGCTAAACCCCCTTCTTTTAACTACAGTCATACTTCATGTTACGTTTGCTTCAGGTTGCACATTTTCAGGTTGTGTCCCGCGGTGACCCGGAAAGGGTTACAAAATGACGTCACGTGCATGCGCAGAAGCGGTGAATTGTGACCCATGCACGCGCAGACACACAGACATGGGTTGCGTTCTTTTCAGGTTGCGAACGGGCCTCCAGAACGGATCCCGTTCGCAACCAGAGGTACCACTGTACCTTTGCTAGAGGGCTTTGTATTTTCTTTCTTTCTTTGTTTGTTTTCTTTTGTTTCATCCTTTTATTTAGATTAGTTTTTTATTGTATGTTGAAAAGTTTCAATAAAAAAACTTTTATATTATTTTATTGCCTTGTGGTCGGTAATTTTGTTTTGGTGGGTGCTGTCTTTTATTAAATTAGATTTTATTAGATTAATTTTCATGCTTTTAGGATGCCACCATAGAATCTGCTGGATGGATGGCACAGAGATAAACTACATTCTGCTTTGTGTCCCATGCAGAGCAGCTTAACAACAGTTTTTCTAAATGTTAATTTAGACTCCCAGAGGGACTCACAATCAAAGAAGACCAAATGATTTATTTCATTTTATTTTTAAAGACCCTGCAAACACAAAACAAACAAAAAAATGAAATAAAAATTGTTGGAACCAATCATTAGTACCTCACCTGCCTTGCATACAATAGATGGTATTTGCAGAAAGCTCTGGGAAAACTCCCATATTAAAACTGCTGCCAGTCCGTGCAGACAGGATGTACCAGTGCTGCCTGTCAGAGCTGTGAGCTAGATGTACTGTAACCACCCTACTATGTAAACCACCCTACTATGCTCACTGTAAAGCACCCTACTATGTTCCTCTGCTGATGAAAAAAGAAAGAACTACCCAGCAACTTTTAACTGCCTGTTTGTTAAAAAGCTACTTCAGAGTGCAGACATGAGTGATTATATATTGCATTTAATATTTTTTTCTGCTATTGAATTTTGTTTAATTTTCCATGCGCATTTCAGAATATTCACCTTAGGAAGAAAACAAAGCTGCTGCTGCTGCCGCCGCCGCGGCCGCCTCCTCCTCACCGCCCACCCCGTTTGCAAAAGGGTGCATTAAATAAACTTTTACTGTATTTCTTTTTTTAAAAAAAATCTCTCTTGCATATTTCAGAACATTAACTGTTACAGGGGGAAAAAATAAGTACGGTACTGAAGCCTTTTGCATTTGCGAAAGGATGCGCTGGAGCGCGTGCGTGGTTACCATCACTGCTCTCCAGTACGTGCAAGGGGTGGGGACACCTCCCCGCCCCCCACCCCAAACACACCCACAAGGTGTCCCGTGATCGCGATGGTGGAAACCCACGCACCCGCACGCGAGCCGCCGGCTCGAAAGCAATGAATGGGTCTCCCGCTGCAGAGCAGCACGTTTAGCTCCGCTCCCATTCTCGAACGGGAGCCTCCTGCTCCGGTTTTACCCCGGGGTCTCGGAGCGGGGGGCCGCTTTTTTTTTAACCCCACCCCCAGCCATGTTCAACCAGCAACAGCAGCAGCTCCAGCAGCAACTGTTGCAGCTCCAGCACCTCCTTCAGCACCAGCCTCAGCACCAGCCTCAGCAGCAGCAAGCAAGCCGGTAAGACCCTCTACCCGAGGCCGGGGATCGTGGGCCTGGCTCCAAGGGAAAGGCGCCTGCTCCACACCCCTTCTTCCCTTGCAAACCTCCTCCGCCCTCCGCGCAGTTTTTGCTGGCGTGACTGCATCTGCTTTGCACCTTGCTCCTGAAGCGTTCCTGCCTCGAAATTCAGTTGCATTTCAGATCTGGCCCTTTTAACATGTGTTTTAAATGTAAATACAGTACATATGTATTTAAAATGTATCCTCAAGCGAGCCTTGCTGCACTTCAGGGACTAAGGCTACAGTGGACCTACTCAGAAGTAAGCCCCATTGCACTCCATGGGACTTGCTCCCAGCTATGTGAGCGGGCCTAACAATTTTTGTATGGACTCAAGCTCCAGCACATGCACGAAGATTGTGTGTGTGTGTTCGCGCGCTTGCTTTGTATAATAACATATTTTAAGCTTTGGTGCCAGATCTCACAACTCATGCTGGCATATATTGCTGAGGTCCAAGAATCTGCACATGCATAATTACCTGTGGCCTAGCAGTGTTCATGGTGCAAAAAATGTATTTAGCTATTTCGTTACCCTCCAACCCCACCACACACACCGTAAGGAAGAAATATTTCCAATATTCTTCTTCCAATATTCCAAGCTTCTTCTAGCGTAAGCCCCCTCCTGGTTCAGCTCCCCACCTGCAAACAAAGCAGCTTGTTCTTTACTCCACATAAAAACAAACCCTCCCACTACCCAACTGAAAAGGCTTGGCTGGCATACTGTTAACAGTTCTAGGACACAATCCACTGGGGAGCTCTCCTGTGCAAGAGCCAAGCTGTGTTGTCGTTTGTCAAGTGTTTTGTTGGTGTGCAGGTCTCACTAATTTCACGGAGTCTCCTCGGCCACATCTTGGTATTGAATGGCAGCTTTTGGAAAATTAGGATGAAAAGAAGTCCCTTGTAGGGCATGGTAAGAATAGGTTCTGAAAGGAATTAGGACCACCCAAGTGCTTGTATTGTGGAAGTCTTTCTAGGTAACATGGACTGTGTGTGGACCTGCCTTCTTAAGCATCTCCATGTCAACACTGTCCCATAATAATGTTGCGCACACATCCGTCTGTTTAAATATACCCCTATAAAATATAAAAACGCTGCTCGCTCTTCCTAAGCAAAGATTTTGGTATGAGCTGTAGTCCTGCAAAATTGATAAGTTTGTCCCTAAGCTTGCAGACAGCATGTTTCTTACACACATTCATTCACACTTGACAACATGGTTTCACCATGTACATAATAATGATATAATTAGGGTGCTGAATTGAAGAAAACTTGGGGTAGCTAAGCATGGACAAGAGTGAAAGGGCTGTTGAGAGTCAGTTCAGTTCTGGAATGCAAAACAAATTCCTAGACTGATAATGTGCTCAGAGGCACCTTATTCTTTAATTTTACCGCATTCCTTTCTTACCGCGTTCTGGAGCTTTTGGACTCTTAATAGAAAACGAAATAGATCCAGCTAGCCAGAAGTCCACCTGCCTGTGCCATATGGCAACCAAAGGAGTTGTTCAACTAGTGCCAAGTACCTGAGCTGTTTCCAGATGTGTTTCTTCTAAAGTAGAGTCTCTCGCCTCACCCCCCCCCCAAATCTATCCACATGCTCCTTGGTAACATTTGAAGCTGCCTTTTAAAAGGGGTATATAATGTCCTATGGGGTGCCCTCTTTTTTCAAGGATGGAAAAAATAGTAAAATAATAATAACCAAAACCAAGCCTTCCAGCATCTGTCAGGCACCCTCTGAATCCAGTTTCCTTATACTTTGTTGAATGAAATTATTCTGAACCTGTTTAATCCTGCCATTGAAAGGCTGTTTAAAACAGTGTCAGTGGTGCTTCCAAAACGATGCAAAGGTTGTGAGAGAGCTCCTGGATACCCCTTTACTACTTAGGGCAGATGCACATATAGAGGGTTGTATCCAGTGTCAGTCCTGCTTAGAGTAGACCCAAGACTATAATGGGCATAACTAACTTAGTTCTATCCATTTCAGTGTGTCTACCTTGAGTACAACTTAACTGGATGCAACACATAGTACCAAAAATGTGCTCATTAACTCTATTTGTGCAGTTAACATTCCATAAATTGGCTGGGTCACACTTCAAGGCAATTGTTTTTGGGCAAAAACATCTTAAGTAGTTGCCTAATGTTGCCTTAGGTTTCTTGCAAGCCGCTCTCTGTCCTGGGATTTCTGCTGATCTGATTCCACCTCCTTCCTTCCCAGGTGTGTGATACCATCGCAGCAGCAGCAGCAGCAGATGTTGAACCTGCGAGCTACTAGTCAAGCCTCGCTCCTCAACGCCAACCCCATGCTCCAGCGGGCCCTGCTCATCCAGCAGATGCAAGGTATAGCACTTGTCCTCTGCTTTGGGATGGGAACCCTGCAGGATTGATGCAGAAGAGGCTGAGCAATGCATGCTGGGATACTTGGGAAACTGTCACACTGGATGGTTTTTATTTACTTGGGTATCTCTGTTATTTGGGGGGGGGCAGGGACTCCCAAGGCAGTTTAAGACATTAAAATTACCCAGGTAGGACCTGCAGCAAAATGGCCATTGTTCCAGCCACTCTATTCCACGTCTCACCACCCCAACCACTCCTTTCAATAGCTTGTCTGCATTTTGCTGCTGCCGAGCATGCTCAGCTTTCATCAGCCACCCAAATGTTCTTTGTTCTTTCACAAATATTGGGGTTCCCCACAAAGCTGCTGGTGCCTCCCTGTTGTGGGTGGTGGGTGGTGGGTGCTGTTCTAGATACATAAGTAATGACACTCATGGAAATACAAATTTAAAAAAAAACCTGCTTCCAGTAGCACCTTAGAGACCAACTAAGTTTGTTATTGGTATGAGCTTTCGTGTGCATGCACACTTCAGATATCTTCTTTTGGTATCTGAAGAAGTGTGCATGCACACGAAAGCTCATACCGATAACTAACGTAGTTGGTCTCAAAGGTGCTACTGGAAGGAGTTTTTTAAATTTTGTTTCAACTACAGCAGACCAACAAGGGACGTGGGTGGCACTGTGGGTTACACCACAAAGCCTAGGGCTTGCCGATCAGAAGGTCGGCGGTTCGAATCCGCACAACGGGGTGAGCTCCCGTTGCTCAGTCCCTGCTCCTGCCCACCTAGCAGTTCGAAAGAACGTCAAAGTGCAAGTAGATAAACCCGGAAGCTGTACACCGGCTCCCTTGGCCAGTAAAGCGAGATGAGCGCTGCAACCCCAGAGTCATCCACGACTGGACCTAACAGTCAGGGGTCCCTTTACCTCTACGGCAGACCAACACAGCTACCTACCTGTATTGGAAATACAGTGGACCCTCGAGTTATGTACCGCTCTGGATACGTAACTTTCAGATTGTGAACTCAGCAAACCCGTCGCACGCATGCGCAGAAGCACTCTGCGCACCGTGCGCATGCACAGAAGCGGCGCTTCCAGTTATGGGCTTTTCGGGTTAAGTATGGACCCCCGGAATGAATTTTATTCATATCCAGAGGCTCCACTGTAGAGGGAATGAACTGATTGCGTTCAGTAATGGGCAGGAGAGTAGTGATTGTTTTGAGGAGGTTGTTCCTTGATCTCCCAGCAGGTGAGTAACTTCTGTTTATTGGGGACAGGGAAGAGTGAGGCAGTGGTGGGGAGGGCACCAAGATGCAAATACACAGGTAGGATGGCTGGATTGTTTCCATTGCTACGTTTGCACTGTGCTGACCTCCCAACCACTTTCCCCACCTGCTCTTGATAAGCAGCAGCAACTCACCTGCTGGGAGGTTAGGTAAATATTAAGCATGTCTACAGACTCAGTGAGAGGTGTGAGCTTGCCTTTGCCCGGTAATCCCATTTAGACTAGGTCTAATTTGAGAAAGGGACACGGGTGGCGGGTTATACCACAGAGCCTAGGACTTGCCGATCAGAAGGTTGGCGGTTTGAATCTCTGTAACGGGGTGAGCTCCCATTGCTCGGTCCCTGCTCCTGCCAACCTAGCAGTTTGAAAGCACGTCAAAGTGCAAGTAGATAAATAGGTACCACTCTGGCGGGAAGGTAAACAGCATTTCCGTGTGCTGCTCTGGTTCACCAGAAGTGGCTTAGTCATGCTGGCTTCATGACCTGGAAGCTGTACGCCGGCTCCCTCGGCTAATAAAGCGAGATGAGCGCCGCAACCCTAGAGTCGGCCATGACTGGACCTAATGGTCAGGGGTCTCTTTACCTTTACCTTGAATTTGAGAGAGGCTCATCTCCTCTTTAACACAAAGAAGCCTTTCTATTTTTTCATCTTTCATATTTGTTCACAACAATATATCAAGGAGATCTGTAGAAGAGTAGCCAGTGTTCTTGAAGAGATATGTGGAGTTTATGGTTGTATATCCACACACCCAAAAAAATTATGCTATGCTATGCTGATACTCATACTTGACTGAAGTGTTTAAATGTTTCTTTGGTTATCCTTGAATCTTCCTGCCACGTTTGCCACCCTCTCCTGCTACACCAATGTGGCACACCCTTTGAGAGCCACTGCTTTAAGGTGCTCAGGCATGCAAGTGTGGTTTCCTCCCCTACCCCATTTTATTCTTGAGGTAGGTTCAGAGTAGGGAGAGGAAACCTATCTCCCTCCAAAAGTTGCTGGACTCAGCAGCCAGCATGGCCAGTGGTTGGGGATATTGGCAGTTGAAGTCCAGGAACAGTTGGGAGTGCCACATGTTCCTCATCTGGTTAAGTAGTTGACAGCGCAATTCTATGCATGTTGTCCCAAAAGTAAGTCCCATTGAGTTCTCTGGGATTTGTTCCTGTACTGAGAGAGGTGGTGGGTTTTCTATAGGCACCTGGCTGGTTGCTGTGAGAGCAGGAATATTGTACTAGGAGGGCCATTGGCCTGGGATAGATATAAGATATATGTCAAAAATACAGTAAAGGTTCGCTATCTGTGCTAGCATTCGATTGACGTTGGAGAGAAATTGAGTTGAGAAATAAGATTAAGGGTACGTATTGATATGAGAATGTAATAGATAAAATGTAAAGAAATTTACAATAATAAGAGTACATTCATTTGTAAAAAAAGGAATATACAACAGGATTGACAGGAAGTCCGTAGTGTTGGTACATATATGATTTTGGAATAGCTTTTTGTCTTGGTTTTTTCTTTCTTTCTTTCTTTAGGTATATAAATTTTGTATATGAACTTTGTATACATGTTGGAAATTATAGTATAATAAGCCCTGTAGAGTCATACCTCGGGTTGAAATCGCTTCAGGTTAAGCCTTTTTGGGTTGCGCTCCGCGGCGACCCGGAAGTAACGGAGCGCGTTACTTCCGGGTTTCGCAGCTCGCGCATGTGACCCACGGATGCGGGTTGCATTCACTTCAGGATGCGAACAGAGCTCTGGAACGGATCCCGTTCGCATCCAGAGGTACCACTGTAATGTAATATGACAATGTATGCATATGTAACATAAGAACGTTAATAAATAAATAAAATGCAGGGGGGGGGGCATTGGCCTGATCCAGCAGGTTTTTCTTAGGTTCTTATGAGGTTCAAGGTTAACTCAGTAAGCCTTGTGGCTGAACAGGGGATTTGAATCTCTATCTCCCTGGCAGTGACAATCGGAGCTCCAAGGAGACACCAGTCCTGAGCCACTTTGTGAGGCTGGAATGACCCCAGCCTTGCAAAGCAGCACAGGGCTGGCTTGGGGAGGGCACCACACTCCCCAGAAAAATGCTACACCCCTGGTCCCAGTTCCACACTCTAAACACAGCGATGAGGAACCTCTGGCGCACGGGCGGAATTGGCCCTCCCAGGCTGTTTGGAGCCAACTGCGTCCACCTGCCCTGCATCCACAATCATTTGAGCTCAAATCAGGAAGATTTTCATCTTTAAACTGTTGAACATGGTTGCACTGAGAGAGATCTTTGTTGCATGCCATGTGCTCCAGTTTAAACAATTACATAAATTAGAAACAACCATAAACACTCAGATAAATGTTTATGAATATATTTAGAAAGTTGTGTTGAAGTGTACATAGCAAAATTATTACGGATATGAAATGATGTCTAGTAACATGTATTGCTTAGATTGGTGGCATTAAGTAAAGTGTATTTTGTATAAATAACACTTAGAGGCCAAGATGAATTTCCTTTGTAGCTGCAGCTTGAATTCTTCCTAAAGTTCTGCTGCATGGTGACAAAAGAGGGTGCCAAATTCAGTTATTTGTTTGTTGCTTTTGTATACCATCTTTCCTCCAAGGAGCTCAAGGTGGTGTATGTAGTTCTCATTTCATCTCACAACAATCGTGCAAGATACAGGTTAGCTTGAGAATAAGTGGCTGGCCCAAGGTCACCCAGGTCCTGGTCTGACACGCTAACCACTATGTCATGCTGTCTCTTAACAAAGCTTTGAATTAGCATTCACTCCCAATTCTTCTATGGCGTCTCTGGCTTGGAGGTTCAGTCACCTTGAGTCATCTGCCAGGCTTCACCCACCTGCCAGAATGTTCTGTGGAGGGTTGGCCTTTTGTCCATCCAGCTCTCCATCCAGAAGTTGTTTTAACACCTCTTGCCCAACCAGCCACCATATTGGCTCACATAGTTTTACGTCTCCCCTCCCAAGTCTGAAGCTGCAAACCTGTACATCTAAAACCATTTTTTAAATCATTTGTAACAGCTACAATCTCTCCTTACCCCACTCATGTGCCCACTCAACTTTCAATTGGCAGAATTGGCACTACTGCTGGTGCCCCATGATGCTTATTACACACTTGTAAGAACTTTGATTGTTCATTGTAGCAGCACCTATACTTTGCGGCTCCCTGCCTATTGATATCAATCAGGCTCCTTCACTGTAGTCTTTTCCGCACCTGCTAAAAACGTTATTGTTTAGACAAGCCTACCTAGATGCCTCGAAAGCGTGGTGTGAAATATAATTTGTTTGAGTATTTTAACTTTTTGTATGTTTTGATGTATTGAATTTCCCCTCCCCTTCAATTTTATGGTTTTATCTTTTTGTGAACGGCTTTAAGGTTTTTCTTTTTTAAAAAAACAAGCTGTGTATAAATTTTATTAAATAATAAAATAAAATAGCATTGGCTGTTGAAGCATGTGATAAGTCAGCCTTTCTCAACCTGTGGGTCCCCAGATGTTGTTGAACTACAACTCCTATCACCCCTAGCTAGCAAGGCCAGAGCTCAGGGATGATGGGAGTTGTAGTCCAACAACATCTGGGGACCCACAGGTTGAGAACGGCTAAGGGAGCTGGGCATGTTTAGCCTGGAGAAGAGGAGGTTAAGGGGTGATATGATAGCCATGTTCAAATATATAAAAGGATGTCACATAGAGGAGGGAGAAAGGTTGTTTTCTGCTGCTCCAGAGAAGCGGACACGGAGCAACGGATCCAAACTACAAGAAAGAAGATTCCACCTAAACATTAGGAAGAACTTCCTGACAGTAAGAGCTGTTCGACAGTGGAATTTGCTGCCAAGGAGTGTGGTGGAGTCTCCTTCTTTGGAGGTCTTTAAGCAGAGGCTTAACAACCATATGTCAGGAGTGCTCTGATGGTGTTTCCTGCTTGGCAGGGGGTTGGACTCGATGGCCCTTGTGGTCTCTTCCAACTCTATGATTCTATGAGAAACTCTATACGTGCTCCATGCAGGCATTCCCTCCAGATGTTGCTGGACTCCCAACTCCCATCATCGTTGGCCATGTTGGTTGGGTCTCAAGAGATTTGGAGTCCAATAAAGTCAGGATGGCACAGTCCTAACTATTCTGTAGTATAGTCGTGCCTTGGATCCCAAACGCCTTGCAACTTGAACGTTTTGGCTCCCGAATGCCACAAACCCGGAAGTGAGTGTTCCGGTTTGCAAACATTCTTTGGAAATCAAACAGCTTCCACAGCTTTCAGTTGAGTGCAGGAAGCTCCTTCAGCCAATCAGAACCTGTGCCTTGGTTGTCAAAGTCGAACAGACTTATGGAACGGATTTCGTTTGACTTCTGGGGTACGACTATACAAGCCAAGTTCCTATTTATCGTTTTTGAAGAGATAAGATATAATGCCCTTTGAGATTCTCTGGGGAGGTGACTGTGTTAGCCCAGGGGTCAGTGCAGGAAAAGTGCTGCAGCAAAGCTTCAGTGGCTGATGGGAAAGTCCATGTAAGGCTCGGAGTGTGTTCCTTTTCAGATCCTCAGAACCACTGACCTTCCAATCAGTTAAAAATCAATGGGGGTGTTTTGAGGAATGCTGATTATTTAGCAGCTGCCTGCGGGTAAGCTGGTGCCAACACTAATAAAATGAAAGGGAAGTTGCATTTTCTGATTCATATGTATAAAAGTATGTTTTATCCTACAGAGCCACAGTTCCTTTGGTACGGGAGTGATGGTCAGAATATGACTAATATCCTATTTATTTTAAAATTTCATTTATTTTTGTTTTATCTCCCTCTTTCTATGTATGTGTGCGCATAAATATGCATGTTCTTATAGCCTTTTCTTTTTTAAAAACAGGAGCTCTCCTCTTTATGGAGTTGATTATTCAGGGGTTATGCAATTGATAATCACATTACCTTCTGTAATAAAGAGTTGTCTGAGCACTGACAGTCCTCTGAAATTTCCTGGTCAACTGCAAGGTTTGGGTTACGTTTGAGAATACTTGATGCCCAGATACTTGGTATCTGAGAAAGATCTGAGTGAATAATTCAGCGGGTGTTTTAACCTGTGGTTTCAGCAGTGGAAACTAGTAAGCTGAGTGTGTAATTCCCCGCCCCCTTTCTGTAGCAGAATTGGAGGTGTGGTTTCTAGAGAGCTAACCAAGCCTCTGAGCCAGGGGTCAGCAAACCTTTTCAGCAGGGGCCCGGTCCACTGTCCCTCAGACCTTGTGGGGGGCCAGACTGTATTTTGAAAAGAAAAGAAAAATGAACGAATTCCTATGCCCCACAAATAACCCAGAGGTGCATTTTAAATAAAAGGACACATTCTTCTCATGAGGTGGCCAAAGTATTGGAGCGTCAGCTTCAGGATCTGTCCTTCCAGTGAGCACTCAGGGGCTGATTTCCTGTGCCCATTTAATCATTACATCTTAAACACCTCCAACTGAAGCGCTGTGTACTTGTATCTGCATCTATCTGCATTATATAAATAATGAGTTGTTGGCTTTTGGGGGGTAGCTGTTTAGAGAACGTGGGCTTTATTCGGTGTTAATCCTACTCAGAGTAGACCCACTGAAATGGATAGTAATGACTAACTGGGTCTTTTAATTTCAGTGGCTGTACTCTGCCTAGAACTTGTTTGCCTACAACCCAATACATGCAAAGGTGTAGCAGCCCTTAGCGGATCTGAGCCATGAACTGATTTGGAGTACTTCCACAGTGATTGTGTGAATTTTGTTTACAGTGGTACCTCTGGATGCGAACGGGATCCGTTCTGGAGCCCCATTCACATCCTGAGTAAAACGTAAGACATGACTGTGCGTTTTGCCGCTTCCGCGCATGCGCGTGACATCATTTTGAGCACATGCGCGAGTGGCGAAACCTGGAAGTAATGCGCTCCATTACTTCTGGGTCGCCGCGGAGCATAACTTGCAAAGGCTCAACCTGAAGCACATCTAACCCGAAGTATGACTGTATTGTGTATTACTGCTTCTGTTATGTTTGCAGTTGTGTCAGTCTTTTCATGTTGTAAGCCGCCTTGAGCAGAGTCTTCGCTATGGAAAGGCGGCATACAAATAAAAGCAGCAGGAGGCGGTCCTGAGCATGGGCGCAGTGACCAAACCACAAATGGCTTGTTCTCTTTTGTGTCTTCAAGTTGCATGGTACTTAACATGGTGTCTGTGCGTCAGTCACCTACCGCTATTTCCTGTCCTTGGTAGGTAACTTGAGAGGCTTCAACATGGCCGCGGCCCCTGTGCTCCAGCAGTTCTTTCCTCAGGCAACAAGACATTCCCTTTTGGGTCCGCCTCCTGTTGGGGTCTCCTTGAAGCCCACTCGCCTGGCTTTCCCTGGGGGCCTCCCTTTTCAGCGGCAGAATCAGACCTTTCGCAAGGTAAGCTCATTTTGGGTTATTGTTGTTGTTGTTTAGTCGTTTCCGACTCTTTGTGACCCCCTGGACCAGAGCACGCCAGTCACTTCTGTCTTCCACTGCCTCCCGCAGTTTGGTCAAACTCATGCTGGTAGCTTCAAGAACACTATCCAACCATCTCATCCTCTGTCGTCCCCTTCTCCTTGTGCCCTCCATCTTTCCCAACATCAGGGTCCTTTCCAGGGAGCCTTCTCTTCTCAGAGTATTGGAATCTCACCTTCAGGATCTGTCCTTCCAGTGAGCACTCAGGGCTGATTTCCTTCAGAATGGATAGGTTTGATCAGCACCAAAATGCTGATTAAAAACTCCCAAAAACATGAAGAACCTAAACAAACAAACACCCATACAGTATCCTCATAGCTAATAATTGGTTCCAGGAACTGTTATCCTTCAGCCTGGTTGAACAATGTTTTTGAATTCCTCCTGAAAATTGAAAATGAAGAAGGCAGACCTACATCACCAGGGAGGGTGTTCTGTTGTGGTCAATTTTCAGTTGTGTTGAGTTTCCCCACGTTCAGTTGTGGTGAATTTTGGCCTGTTTTTGAAGTCTTTCCTCTTATGCCTCTGGCTTTTATTTCTACTGCTACTCTGCAGCTTACTGATTCATGAGCGACTGATGAAAAGGCTGTTGATTCAGCAAAGGCCTCAATTAGCACATCCTTCTCCAGACTACAGTGGTGCCCCGCAAGACGAATGCCTCGCAAGACGAAAAACTCGCTAGACACGAAAGAGTTTTCCGTTTTTTGAGTCGTTCCGCAAGACGAATTTCCCTATGGGCTTGCTTCGCAAGACGAAACGTCTTGCGAGTTCTTGCGAGTTTGTTTCCTTTTTCTTAAAGCCGCTAAGCCGTTAATAGCTGCTAAGCCGCTAATAGCCGCTAAGCTATATGAAACTTATAGCCCTGCAAAATCTGGAGAGCCCTACTTTGGAGAAGGCTGCACCAGCAATTTTAAAAACAAATTTCTCTTTGCTCAGGTAGCAGCCACCCACCTGAATCAGTCCCAGAGTGCTGGGGAATCAGTGTTGGGCTGCAGCAGAAAAGGGGAATTGTAAAAAAAGCACCTCCCTTTAGCGGATTCCTCCATGGGATCAAAAGCCTTTTTTGTGAAAAAAGACTGGGCTCAGTTCAGTTCCAGTCCCAAGCACAAATTCCTATGCACAGAATATGTTCAGAGGTACAGTTTTTGTACCTCATTCTGGTTGGTCATTCTCAGGGTTCTAATATGCAAACAAACAAATAAATAAGACGCAGTTCCAGCAAGCCTGGCTCTGCGGATTGTTTGCATCTCTCTTTTCTTGAACCATTGCATTCTCCACTGCAGGACTTCTCGAGGACCTCTGAGAGGAAACGGGAGGTGGATTCTGCAACTTCCTCCTCTCAGGGGCAAGGAGCAGATGAGAGCCTACCTGCACTGGATATGCCTATCATCAAAGAGGCGTGTGAGCAGCCGAATTCTCCACCTCCAGGTAGGAGAATACTTGAATTTGCTTTTTCCTATACAGCAACACAGAATAGGGAGGTATTTTTTTAAAATAATAATAAAAAAATGAGCAGGTGAAGATAGGTTTTGCTGAATCATACCAAGTGTTTGTTTAATCTGGCATCTTGTTTATCACAGTGGCCAGCCAGAGACACTGGGAAGCCCCTAGGAGGACTTGGGAGCAAGAACCCTTTCTCAATATTGTTGCTCAGCGACTGGTATTGAGAGACATGATTCTGGAGGCAGCATCAGGACTGCCTGCCATTGATAGCCTTGTCTTGCTGTATTAACCTGTTTAATCCCATTTTGAAGCTGTCCAGGTTGGTGACCATTGTTGTAAACAAAAATCTGCCCATTTTCCCTTATGGGGTATCCAAGAGCCCATACAGAGTCCTTATGTAGGTTCCCTATTGGTAGGAGAGAATAACAGAGGCCATCCAGAGAATATTGAGAAGCAGAGCAGCTAGTAAGCCTGATCTTTATTGATCTGTTGCAACAGGGTGCTCCCCTCACCCGCAGGAAAGGAGGGGGACCCCGAACAAAGGTGTTCCTGCCCTTATATAGACATTTTAAATCCCCTCCCTGGAGTCCAAGACCACCCCCAGAAACATCATACCTACATCACAGAGAGGGCAGTCTACAGCAGAAATCTGAGTGTTTCGTTTACCTCCTGTCTGCCAGGTTACCTGTTTAATGGTCACTTGATTGGATTGCCTGGGGAGCCTGGCCAGTCTTTTGTAATGATAAATACTTAGTTCCTGAGCCAGGTCACAGGCCTTCCTGTGCTATCTATGTATCTGCTTGGTTGGTACACTTATGAACATTTAACATATATCTAAGACCTCAAAATTCCTATCACACCATCACTGCATCTTCTTGTAGCAATTCCATTATTTAGCTCACGTGTTGTGTGAATAAGGGCTTCCACTTACCTGTCCTAAATCACCCACCATTTAGTCTAATTGGGATGACTCCCTGCCCACCCCCCAAAATAGTAGCTAGCAGGAAAAGCAGTCGGGGATGATGGGAGTTGTAGTTCAACAACAGCTGGGGGGACCTGAGGTTGAGAAACACCGCTTTAGAGGGTACTTGGCTGCTCTGAAGCAATAACTTCCTTTTTCTGGGCCCACAGAGACTCTGGCAGAATCCTCTTCAGCCGACGAGCCGGCAGCCAAGCGGCTCAGAAGGTAAGGATGGCAGTTGCCAGGATCTGCACCCTGAGCTGAATTGTAAGAACAGCTTTGCCAGATGGAATCCTAAAGATCTACCTGGCGCATTGTGCCTCTCTTTGGTGGTGGGCTGGCCTCTCCGACAGGCGCAGCGCCGCTGGTGGCTCCGCCGGGCCCTGAGTGCGTGGGCCTGGCACTGCTTGTGGGAGTGGTTGTACAGGATCACCCAGAGGCCCTGCTCCCCAGCCCCCTCCCCCTGTCTAAGGGCTTGCACCATAGTCTGCTGGACAGACAAGCCCTCATAAGCTCCCCTGCTCACCTCCCAATGTCCCTGCAGGTGTCTTTCCACTTGTGGCAGAAGCGCTGCCTTTTCAGTGGCAGCTATAATCCATTTGTGCTTCAGCAGGGACATAGCATGATCTCTGTGTTGGCCACAACCATCTGGCGGAGAAGGGACTTCTCCTCTGCAAGCTAGTTCAGCTTCCTGTCATCAGTGGGAGTGGCATGGTCAGAGAGGCCTTCATCAGGGTCAGCCATGGCAGCCAGGCAAGGTCTGGGTAGACAGCTCAGCCAAATAATAATAATAATAATAATAATAATAATTTATTATTTATACCCCGCCCATCCGGCTGGGCTTCCCCAGCCACTCTGGGCGGCTTCCCACAAAATATTAAAATACAGTAATGCATCAAACATTAAAAGCTTCCCTAAACAGGGCTGCCTTCAGATGTCTTCTAAAAGTCTGGTGGTAGTTGTTCTCTTTGACATCTGATGGGAGGGCGTTCCACAAGGCAGGTGCCCCTACCAAGAAGGCCGTCTGCCTGGTTCCCTGTAACTTGGCTTCTCACAGTGAGGGAACCGCCAGAAGGCCCTCGGAGCTGGACCTCAGTGTCCGGGCGGAACGATGGGGGTGGAGACGCTCCTTCAGGTATACTGGGCCGAGGCCGTTTAGGGCTTTAAAGGTCAGCACCAACACTTGGAATTGTGCTCGGAAACGTACTGGAAGCCAGAGATTCATTCATACATTCCTAATTCTATTTGTGCCCTGCTTTGCCACACACACACACACACACAGAGAGAGAGAGAGAGAGAGAGAGAGAAACCTGCTCAAAGCAAGTTACAACAGAGAAAACAGGAATACATTTCAAAACCCCAACAGTGCAAAAATAATATCGTAACAACATAATAAGACAACATAATAAGACAAAGCACCGTATTTTTCGCTCTATAAGGTGCACCAGACCATAAGACGCACCTAGTTTTTGGAGGAGGAAAACAAGAAAAAAAATATTCTGAATCTCAGAAGCCAGAACAACAAGAGGGATCGCCGCGCAGCGAAAGCAGTGATCCCTCTTGCTGTTCTGGCTTCTGGGATAGCTGCACAGCCTGCATTCACTCCATTAGACGCACACACATTTCCCCTTACTTTTTAGGAGGGAAAAAGTGAGTCTTATAGAGCAAAAAATACGGTACTTTGAACATAACAAAATTATATTAGCAACATCCAAACTCCAAAAGCAAAAGTAACAAGGGAGCTTTATGGTTTCACTTTGGTCCCAGACAAACCCCTCCTGTGATGTTGCTGGCGGTCCCTCTCCTGCAGCAGTTTCTTCTAAGGCTTCCAGTGGCTGCATTCCAACCCATTCATCCTGGCAGATCTTGCTACTTGGTGTGAGATCCTCCTTGGATTCTGGGCTGTTCATACAAGGTCATGGCCATCGCAGCACAGTTTCTTGGCCTCCCACTTTTAATGTACTAACAGCTTCTTTTTTAAAAAACAACAACCATTTATCCCACCAGGGAAGCTGGGGACACAATCCCAGAAGAAGCAGTATGTCTTCAGCAAGTGGAGGAGTCCAACACAGAATCCCACCTGGAAGGTGAGAGCTTCACAATTGCCTGGGATCATGCAAACTGCTCCCAAGGGTCTAGAATCAAAAAGCTGTTGGAAAATAGTCAGATGCCTTGCAGTAGGTTGAAAGCAATACAAATATATTCACCCCAGCCTGTATCTGTATTTAGTTTAGAATCATCTTTATAGGAAAAATGGATTTTAACTATTTTTACATATGGGGTTGTTTTTGTTGTCCACACTTTTAATGTGAAACCGCTTCAATATATTTTATGGGAAGCGATTCACAAAATAATAAAATAATAACTGTGAAGCGCAGCTTGCAGGGGCCAGGCAACTGGTGCATGGAATCTCCGGTCCTAGAACAGGGACAATTAGACCCTGCCTGACTCTTCGAGGTTGCTGGCTGTACAGAAATCTGCCCAGTGTATGTCTGTGTGTGTTGCATGTTTCCTGCTCCTCTGACTAGATTTGAGTCTGGAAAGGGCTGGACAGTAACACCCACCACCAGCAAACAGCCCCTGCCAAAGACATGCATCACACATACAGTGGATGCTGGGGTTGCGACCGTGATCTGTGCGGAATGCACGTTTGCAACCCACAGCGGCGTGTCTGCGCACGTGCGGGTTGCAATTCGGCGCGTATGTGCAAAGCGTGATTTAGCACTTCTGCACATGTGCAACCGCCGAAACCCGGAAGTAACCTGTTCCGGTACTTCCAGGTTTTGTCGGTACACAACCCAAAAAAACGCAACCTGAAGCGTCTGTAACCCGAGGTATGACTGTACCTCCTTTCAGGTCTCCAGGAAATTGCCCTCAGTCTTAAAAGGCATACTTTTCCGGAGGGGTTTCGCAAGCAGCTGCAAGGCCAGACTCTGCCCTCCAGCTGCTTCCCCTTCTTTTTTGTCCTTTCCCATGGGTGCATCCTTCTGAGGCCACATGGGGTCCAGAGTCATTCTGTGGAATGGAGAGAGAGAGAGCAGAGCTGTGCTTCTTTTTATAGCCAAAGGGAGGGAACTCTCCAGAATAAAAATTTGCTGGGTGCTGCGGGAGGTTTCTGGAAGTTCCATGCTGCCCATGAGACCATGTTGGGGACCTCAAGGATTGGTGATGCTCCTGAGAGCTCCCACCTTCCGCTCCTGGGGAAATTAAATTCTCTTTCTGTCTGCCTGTCTTTCGTAGAGGCAGGCAATGGGAATGAGAATCTGGCTGCAGATACTTCCAAGGAAAAGAACATTTCTGGAGAGCTGAATATTTCGGAGGTGAGCAGAAAGCTTCTTTAGCTCCTGGAGAGGGAGGATGACTAGCAGCAGGTTCTTCTGCTGCTTTGTTAAAAACTGTTGGGGAAATGTGGGCGGCATCCTTTGCCAGCCTAGTTCCCTCCAGCTGGCATCATTCGCTGGCATTGATGGGAGATGCAGTCCAAATCATTTGGAGGCACCGTGGTGGGGAAGGCTGGTGTACACAGATAGCAACATGGAAAAACACACTCTGGCTCAATAACCAAAGATCCAAAGGAGCCTTTTACCCAGCATGCTCTCCTCCAAGAGGGCCATCAAGCAAACCAAATTAACCATAGTTTCTCATTCTGTCCAAACTGGGAAACCATGGGTAAAAGCTACTTTCTCACAAGAAATGAGGGAAACAGTAACTGTACATCTCAGGTTCCTAGAATGCTAGAAACTTACTCATTTAAAAGGAAAGCTGGGATTGGGGGTGGGGGCAAATAGCATTAATAGAGAGGGAACTGCCTCCCTTCTACAACCACTGCACAGACGTCTGTGCTTCATATGTGCCTGTAGTTTATATATATTTGGATGAAACTCTAGTTAATTGAAGCCTTCCTGTTCTTGCTGGGGTTTCGTGCGTGGGCAAAAGTCTTTTTCCTACCTTGGCTTTTTAAGCTGAAATATGACCATCCAAATTCCTTCAGTGTGCAAATGCAGAAATCTCTAGATGCAGCCTCAGTATTCTTCCTGTAAACACTGCCTTCTCTCCCCAAACTGTATGTATCTTCTTCTTTTTAGCCGAGTAAGATTGTCTTCCATAAACACGGTTTTAACAATGAGTCTGTAAGTGGCTGTGGAGGCCAATTCTGGATCCACACGTCCTTCCACAGTGGGGAAGTGTATAGCCGCTGTCTGGATGTGGCCTGAATTATGGGCTTCTTCTACTCTCCAGAGCTGAGGGATTTAATAGTTGGCTGATGGGCAACCTGAATTGAGTCCTTGAATCTTCTCCAGGTGGTCAGCTCTGCAGGCTCCCTGAAAGTCACAATTCAGCAGAGCAGCGAGAATCGAGCTATCAGCACCACAGCCCTAAAGCCAGCCTTCTGGACCTCTGAGATGGGGACAGCTGGAGGCAGCCCCGAGGCTACCCTGAAATTCTACTGTTACATATGCAAGACTAACTGCTACAACCAACAGGTAATAAGACACGCTTCATCTGAGGAGTTGCAAAGTTGGGATTTTTGCAACCCTGCCGCCCTCCCTCTCCTTACCTGCATCAGTATTCATTCCTTTCCTAGACAGCTTACTGTCTGTAGAAGTGACTTGCAGTAGGTAAAAATATAGGCGTGTGTATAAGCACACAAAAAATGGACAAGAAAATCTATATCAAATACTTTAAAAAGATGCATAAGCGCTATCCATATTCACAATAACAGTATCAGTATAAATAAAATTGAAAGTGTAGAATCCCCGCCAGCATAAAACACTGTTTTGCATTGCAGTCCTGAGCTGTTTAAGGCTTTATAGGTCAACACCAGCACTTTGAATTGGGCCTGGAAACTAACTGGCAGCCAGTGCAGTTGGGCCAGGATTGGTGTAATATGCTCAAGCCATCTTGCTCTGGTGAGCGACCTGGCCGCTGAATTCTGTACCCGCTGATGTTCCTGAACCGTCTTCAGAGGCAACTACATATAACACGTTGCAGTGGGGCTTGACATTCTCATCCCACAGGATGAGCCTTCTCCCAATCTGAGGCCTATGTTGCTGAACAGCAACTCACAGCATCCCTGATCACAGGCCAGTGCTGTCTGGAGCCCAGCACATCTGGAAGCCATCGCGTTGGGGGAAGGCAGCCTTATGGAGCCATTTCTGATCCTGGCCAGTATTTCTGAGCGTGCCTGTCACCCCTTTCATCACTTCTGAAGTAGCCCATCTGAACTGGATAGGCTTGCCAGGTTTCAAATGATGTAGTGTGGCTCATGCAACACGTTGGCGATCAATATACACAGAACAATAATTATACATACTTTATCAACCTTCTGAGAAAAATACAAAACATTAAACAAAGCCACCAAGACTTGCGAACTGCCCAGCCTAAAATGAACTTATAATGTCTGGTTTCAATAGATTTTTCAAATGCTTAACTCGGTCTTTTAGATAAGTTCATGAAGATACCAACAGAAGGTAAGTTCGGTGTTATTCACAGTACCGAGAGATGCTAGTAGAGTTGTAGATAGATGTTAATAAAGTTGTAGATAATGAAGTTGTAGAGACAGGGTGCCGGCGTTTTGCACCTGTTTCGCCCTGGCAGTCCAAGTAATCAAAAGGCCGCTGTTCGCCCCCGATGGGGCCCTTTAACTGGGGCTTGCAGGTAGCACACCCCGAAGATCGTTTTTTGGGCTGTTTCAGTGGTCTAATCTCAAAGTCTTGATGTGCATATTGATATTCAATCTTATAGAGAATACTCTTTCTTGGCTTAAGCTTAAGAGACTGATTTGCTTAGCCTGAGACTGATTTGCTTAGGTTTCAAATGATGGCTACTCCATGTTCTCTCCATATCTCTCTCTCTCAGAATTTCCAGGCTCACATGGCAGGAGCTCAGCACCAGCAGCGACTTCGGGAGATCCAACACATGAGCAACATCTGCCTTGTCTCATTGTTGCCTGTGGTGAAGGAGCAGAAACCACTGGCTGAGAAAGATGGGTATGTTGGTTTGTTGGACTAGATAGTCCTTGTGGGGCGGGGTCCTTCCAGCTCTGCTTCTATGTGCAGGCTGTAAAATTCTGTGACTGGAGAATGTGGAGCTCTCAAACCGATTGTTTACCCACCCAACCCCTTCACAGGAAGAATAAATCAGGGCTGGAGAGTCTTTTCAGTTACTCAACATGGCAGGTTCTGATGTTCTCTGCAAGCAATGGGGAACTTATTTTCTGGCCAAGGGCAGTATCCTGGTGTGGGCTGCTTCTCTCCCTTACTGTAGCAGACACAGCTCATGAGCAGATTCCTCATCCCTGTAATTTCTAGAGCACAAAATTGTATGTTGGGATTTGTGCATGTTCATTTTTGTTCCAAGCGGATATGAAAACACCTATTTCAGCTTTGCTCCTTAGTGGCTCCTGTTGCAAGACTATGCACCACTTGGGGCAGTGCAAAGGTGAAATGATTTGTTTTCATGTCCTCCAGGATTCATTTGATTAGCCTAGGGCAGGGGTCTGCAACCTTTAAGACAAAAAGAGCCACTTGGACCCGTTTCCGAAGGAAAAAAACAACTGGGAGCCGCAAAACAAGCCAAATGTAAATAACCACACATTCTTCCCCTTCCCCCATTCGCTCTCTTTTAAGAGGGGTATGGTACCTCTCATATCCATTTTTTGCAAAGCACCATGTGCATAGAGGGCATTATACAAATTAATACATAGAAAAGTGTCTGTCCCTCCCTGCAGTTCAACTCCCCCTCTTTTACTAACAGCACATATCCATTCCTTCTGCTGGTGCAACTTTCTCATCATTTCTACATAGCAGCATTTATAAACCAGTGCCAGAGAAACTGGGTGAAAGGAAGGTGAGAGGGAAGAGATATGAATATTTATGTGTGTATATGTATACATACATACACCTACACAATTACAGGTTTGAAGCCAACTTAAAATAAGCAAAGGAATCTGTGGTGCTTTCCATGGGATCCGGGGACATGTCAGCTAATACTCTTCCCTTTCTTCTTCATTTGCTTGTCTCTGCAGCAAATCTCGAGAGGAAGGAGAAGGGCAGGAATTGCATAGGCACGAGAGAACGGGGGAAATCCCGCATGCAGGATTTTGGTGCCTAACAGCCCCCCCCCCTCTGCAATTGCTCTCGTGCTCCCCCGCCTCTCCTGCTGGCTACCTCTGGACTCCCTCCTCGTCACTGACGTAATTCACCCCTTCCTCCCTGACAGGGAGGGCGGGCCCATTTTGTGGTTCACCTCAGGTGCTCTCCCTCAACTCGGCAGTCACTCAGAAGCAAGGCACGGAAAAGGATCCCGAAGCACCACCGCCACCCCTCACACAAAAAACCCCCGCCCCGCCATTTCCCTCAAGCGCGCGCTCTCTCCCTCGCCTCAGGTGCCTCGCGCGCGGGGCTAAGGAGAGCGTGGCCTGGGTGGGCGGGGGAAGCTATGAGCCATGAAGCCGCCTGGCAGAACTTCCCTCCGGCAGCAGCAGCAGCAGCCCTTCTCCGGCCGCCACCCTCCTCCTCCATCCCAGCAGCCGCCGCCTCTCGAGCTCCGCTGCCGCTGCCGCCGCCTTGCTTTGCCCGGCTCGGCTGCCCAGCTCCACCCCCCTCCTCTTTCTGGCGCTTCTGCTTTTCTGCTCAGGGTCCCCGAGGATCTGCGGAGCCGCGGCAAAGGTGTAAAAGAGCCGCATGCGGCTCCGGAGCCGCGGGTTGCCGACCCCTGGCCTAGGGACTTGGTAGAAATTACCGTATTTTTCGTTCTATAGGACGCACATTTCCCCCTCCAAAAACTAAGGGGAAATGTGTGTGCGTCCTATAGAGCGAATGCAGGCTGCGCCGCTAAGCCCAAAGCCAGAACAGGAAGACGGAGCACTGCGGAGCGCTCCGTCTCGCTGTTCTGGCTTGGGAACAGCCTTGCTAGCTTCTGCAGGACAGCGGGGTGAAGGCACCCCGCTGCCCTGCAGAGGTTTGCGCGCAGCCCTCCCCAAGCTAGAGCAGCGAGACGGAGCCCTCCGTCTCGCTGTTCTGGCTTGGGAACAGCCTGGCTAGCTTCTGCAGGACAGCGGGGTGAAGGCACCCCGCTGCCCTGCAGAGGTTTGCGCGCAGCCCTCCCCAAGCTAGAGCAGCGAGACGGAGCGCTCCGTCTCGCTGTTCTGGCTTGGGAACAGCCTTGCTAGCTTCTGCAGGACAGCGGGGTGAAGGCACCCCGCTGCCCTGCAGAGGTTTGCGCGCAGCCCTCCCCAAGCTAGAGCAGCGAGACGGAGCCCTCCGTCTCGCTGTTCTGGCTTGGGAACAGCCTTGCTAGCTTCTGCAGGACAGCGGGGTGAAGGCACCCCGCTGCCCTGCAGAGGTTTGCGCGCAGCCCTCCCCAAGCTAGAGCAGCGAGACGGAGCCCTCCGTCTCGCTGTTCTGGCTTGGGAACAGCCTGCTAGCTTCTGCAGGACAGCGGGGTGAAGGCACCCCGCTGCCCTGCAGAGGTTTGCGCGCAGCCCTCCCCAAGCTAGAGCAGCGAGGCGGAGCCCTCCGTCTCGCTGTTCTGGCTTGGGAACAGCCTGCTAGCTTCTGCAGGACAGCGGGGTGAAGGCACCCCGCTGCCCTGCAGAGGTTTGCGCGCAGCCGTCCCCAAGCTAGAGCAGCGAGACGGAGCCCTCCATCGAGACGGAGCGGGGCGCTGCGCTCCAAAGGCTTCAGGGATCTTTGAGGCTGGCGGTGGGGGAAGCAGCGCTTCCACCGCCAGCCCTACAAGCTCTGGTGAATGTACCTTGAACGCACCTTGTTTTGGAGGGGGAGAACAAGAAAAAAAATCTTTTTCCCTGTTCTCCCCCTCCTATGATCCGGTGCGTCCTATGGTCCGGTGCGTCCAATGGAGCGAAAAATACGGTACCTGCATGCCTTATTGGATAGCTGAAACCTGCAACAGACTTTGCAAATTTGGTGCCTCTCAGATGTTATGGACCACAGCTCCCCTCAGACCCAGCCAGCATGGCCAGGAGTTAGAGAGTGCAGCAACATGTAGAGAACCACAGATTCCCCCATTTTTTCATATGTTCTTCAGGTGTAAAAGTCGCTTGTTCAGAAAATTGTCACACAAGACAACTAGTAGTGGCAGAATTGAGGAAACAGGGGTCTAAGAATGTCATATTTTCACAACTCCCCTTTGCTTCCTGAGTCTTTTGTGTTTTCACATGTTTCCTGTTTGAGGGTTAGAACTGTGCTCTAAACGCCCCACAGCCTGGAGAGCTGAGATTCTCAATGATGCCAGACGTGTCACCAGGCAGTGTATGAGATCCCAAATGACTGACTAGCAGAATGCCTTTTTTTTTACTATATAAAGGCAGTGGAGCAAGTGGGAGATAATGCTGTGTTGCCGTTTTAGTGGAATGTTCTTGTCCTTGCAGAGAGAGCCAGCAGCGGTGGTGTAACACCTGCCAGATACATTTTACAGGTGACCTGATCAAGCACCGTCGGACTCAGGAACACAAGGTAACTCTTTGCCCAGGTTTCTCTTTCCTGTAAATAATGGATAGGCAAACTAAGGCCTGGGGGCTGGATATGGCCCAATCGCCTTCTCAGTCCAGCCTGTGGACCGTCCAGGAATCAGTATGTTTTTACATGAGTAGAATGTGTGCTTTTATTTAAAATGCATCTCTGGGTTATTTGTGGGACATAGGAATTGGTTCATTCCCCCCCCCCCAAAAAAATATAGTCCAACCTCATGGTATGAGGGACAGTGGACCGGCCCACGGAGGAAAAAGGTTGCTGACCCCTGCTGTAAATGTTCAAGGAAGGGGTTGAATGCTGATTACCTCAGGGGCGGTGATAGGTTAATGTTTTTTATATTAGAGAATATTTTAATAGCAAATTAAGGCACTGACACGAAAGCAAAATATGCTGTTTCCAAGAAAATCGGGCTCATGCATTTTTTTGTTGAGTCATGTCTGACTCTTCGTGACCCCATGGACCAGAGCACACCAGGCACTTCTGTCTTCCACTGCCTCCCGCAGTTTACTCAAACTCATGTTCGTAGCTTCGAGAACACTGTCCAACCATCTTGTCCTCTGTCATCCCCTTCTCCTTGTGCGCTCCATCTTTCCCAACATCAGGGTCTTTTCCAGGAGTCTTCTCTTCTCATGAGGTGGCCAAAGTATTGGAGCCTCAGCTTCAGGATCTGTCCTTCCAGTGAGCACTCAGGGCTGATTTCCTTCAGAATGGATAGGTTTGATCTTCTTGCAGTCCATGGGACTCTCAAGAGTCTCCTCCAGCACCATAATTCAAAAGCATCAATTCTTCAGCGATCAGCCTTCTTTATGGTCCAGCTCTCACTTCCATACATCACTGCTGGGAAAACCATTGCTTTAACTATATGGACCTTTGTCAGCAAGGTGATGTCTCTGCTTTTAAGATGCTGTCTAGGTTTGTTATTGCTTTTCTCCCAAGAAGCAGGGGTCTTTTAATTTCCTGACTGCTGTCACCATCTGCAGTGATCATGGAACCCAAGAAAGTAAAATCTCTCACTGCCTCCATTTCTTCCCCTTCTATTTGCCAGGAGATGATGGGACCAGTGGCCATGATCTTAGTTTTTATGATGTTGAGCTTCAGACCATATTTTGCACTCTCTTCTTTCACACAATCTGTCTTTGACTATAGCACTGCTGATGGAGGATCTTTGCTGATATTATATATAGCAGGTTCTTTCTTGGGTTAAAAAGGGAGCAAAAAACATAGTAACTCCTTCTGAAAAAGGCATATTTGCAGGTTTGTTCTTGCGGTCTCCCCCTCCCCTCAGCAGACGCGGGCAGTAATATTCAAGTTCAACCATTTCCATGTCTGCAATATTTTTAAAATAATCGCTTTTAAAGCTCCATTTGTTTTATTAATTCCACTTACAGATTGCTTCCTATGAAGCATCTCAGAGTGATCGACAGTAATATCACCAGTGAAAACATACTGAAAAAGTTCATGTATTCAGCAACGCAAATCCAATGCAAATGCTGCCCGAAATAAATCTCTAGATTGGGCTAAAAAAATACTGGTTGAAAGAGTTTTGAGTTTAGCTCCTTGCTTTCTTCCTGCTTCTCATCCATCAGCCACCAAGGCCTCTTTATCAGTGATAAAAGAAAACCTTGAATAACTCACCTTCAATAACTTTGTCAGTTGGCTAATTCCTGAATTGCTAGTTCAGTTCTGTTAATTTGGATCTGAACAGAGACTATACTATTGTGTCCCACTGCAGTTGTTAATTTACTCAGCACTGCTAAGGTGTTCGAGTTATCACAAATTACTGCTGTTATGAACAGTCCTTTTGCATACATTTAAGCTGCAATAATTACAAGTTTCACAGACTGTACTGTTGGAATTCCATTGCCGTGTAACCCCAGCCTTTCCGTTCCCCCCCCTTCACATCCATGTGCATGTAAAGGTGTCCTCTGTGCATCTAATGAGGTGGGCTTGAGCTGATGCTGTTATTTTTTAAAAAATCTTCCTTTATATATATCCTGCACTTCCTCCTGAAGGAGCCTGGTACTTAAGGTGGCATCAAATCAAGTGTGCTTGAAGGCTTCCTGTGAGCAAATGCCACATTATTTCCTACCTGTCCCCCTTTCTTTTCTTATCCTAGCTTGCCAAACGCTCCCTCCGACCCTTTTGCATGGCGTGCAGCCGGCACTTCAAGACCCCCCGCAAGTTTGTGGAGCATATGAAGTCTCCAGAGCATAAGCAGAAGGCCAAAGAGGTATGGGCAGCTGTACTTCAGGGAACGTGGTGGCAGTTGGGATGAGCTAGGTAGGACTTTGGCAGGTGGGCAGAGGGCCATGTGTCTGCTGCAGAGCTGTGCCTCAGAAACATCAGAGGCCCTGGCAGGTTTTAGGGGGGGATGTTAGCTCAGTGGATAAAACACCAGCTTTGGGTGCAGAAGGTTCCAGGTTCAATCCCTGGTAGGGCTATGAAATCCTGAAAATGAGAGAACTGCTGTCAGTGTTGACTACAGTGGTACCTTGGGTTACAGACGCTTCAGGTTACAGACTCCACTAACCCAGAAATAGTACCTCTGGTTAAGAACTTTGCTTCAGGATGAGAACAGAAATTGCACAATGGCAGCAGGAGGCCTCAAGTTTAGAACAGTTTCAGGTTAAGAATGGACTTCCGAAACGAATTAAGTCCTTAACCTGAGGTACCACTGTACTGAACTAGATTGACCAGTTATATTGTCTGACTCAATATAAAGCAGCTTCCTATGTTCCCAGACTTAATTGTCCATCTGCTTTAATATTATCTACTGTGACAGGCAGCAGCTGTCTAGGACAGTGGCTCTCAAAGGGTGTGTCATGTGCCACACTGGTGTGTCAGGAGAAGGATGGCAAGTGTGGCAGGAAAATTCAAGGACAATCAAAGAAACATTTAAACATTTCAGTGTCGTATAGTATGAGATTTTGTATTTGCAGAATATGGGTAAATTTATTTTCAAAATGAGAGCAAGAGCATCAAGTGTGTAGGAATGATTTGTGTTCTTATGTAGCTGCCTTGTTTTATACTTTCTGGACGTCCCGTGGTCATATTATAAAGTAGTTGTGTTCTATGTTATAAATCAAGCACTGCTAGGAGTTACCCCCCCCCCAGTGTATTTCTTACCAATAAAAAATTTGGAGTAGCACAAACAAATTTTTATTCTTAAAATGTGAAACTTAAAACCATGGAGAGACTTGGTCTGAATAGAGACATTGGATTATTATCTCATTTTTAGCCATCTCACCCCTTGCTTTTCCCTGTAAGACCATTGCAGTTGTTAACAGTCAGCAGGTTTACCACACCTATCAGCCAATCCCCCATTCCCACCACCCTTCTGAGTAATACCCTCTCACTATATATGAGGGTCTGGTGACTTCTGATTGAGTGTATCTGAGGAAGTGTGCATGCACACGAAAGCTCATACCAGTGACAAACTTAGTTGGTCTCTAAGGTGCTACTGGAAGGATTTTTTTAAAAAAAAATTGTTTCAACAGAGAAAACAGTTTGAGAACCACTTCTCTAGGGTCTCTGGCAGGGGAAGGTCTTTCCTGTCACTTTCTATGTGGCCTTTTTTGTAACTGAAGATGCTGGGAATTGAACCTGGGAACTTTTGGAAGAAAAGCAAGTGTCCTAGCACTGAGCTATGGACCCTCCCAGGAGAATATGCCGTCTGTGGGCTTTATGGCCTGTAGGTGCACAAGACTGCAAGGACTTGTAGGTTCTCTTGCTGGGACCCTGGCCTGTTTACTTTGATTAGATTTTTTACTTGCCCCTTTGTGATAAGGGTCCCAGAATGGGTTAACAGCAATATAATCTTCTTTGGCCATCACTTGTGGCCGAGTAAGATTGTCTTTCATGAAAACTGTCTTAACAGTGTATCTGTAAGTGACTGTGGAGGCCAATTCTGGATCCACACATCCTTCCACAGTGGGGACATACGTTTCTGGGCAGGAGTAGATCACAGTGAAGGTTTGCCAAGCGTGCCTTCCTCTTAGCTCGTTTCTCCCTTGCGTCCTGAGTTCAAGTGTCTTCAAAGCCCACGACACCTTTGGTAAAGGCTGTTCTCCAATTGGAGCATTCGCAGGCCAGTGTTTCCCAGTTGTCGGTGTTTATACTACATTTAAGCTGTCATTACCTGTCATGGGCCAGGAGTCACCTTCACCCGCTGAACAGCATCCTGGAAAGGGAGAAGGCAGAGTGACTCCACCTGCAGCTGATTAACCTCCAGTGACACAGAGGAGAAGGCATTGATGAGAACCAGCTGGCTTCAGCCTTCTTAAACAGAGCTCTCAGCAGACAAGAGTTTCCATCTGGACTCTTGGCTTTGTGATCTGAATGGTCTGACTACGTGGATTGCTGCTTGCCCAACCCTCGGAACAGACTTGACTTCGTATTCTGACTCTGCCACGTCTGAGACTCTTCCGTTTGTTTGGCCTCACACTCTGCATGCGGTTGCTGGGCAATGCGACTGACATTACACCAGCTTCTTAGGGTGGTGGAACTACTGAGAGAGTACCCCGCTGCCCTGGGAAATATTAACACACACCCCAGAAAAAAATGTCTACTGTTAGTCATCCTTGGGCTATTCCAGGAATGGGAAACCTGTGATGTTCTAGGGGTTGCTGGACTCCATGTCCCATCAGCCCCTTCCAGCATGGCCAGTACTCAGGAATAATGGGAACTGTAGTTCAAGAACCGGTGGAAGGCTACAGGCTCCCTATCCCTGGGCTAGACCAGGCTTCTGTCAGTCAAACGGAGCAAGTGGCTTCTGCTTGTTAGTTTCACACTTTATAAACGTTGTTTAAGGCTGTTTTGTTTACTTGCCCCTTGGTGGGATCCATGTGCTAATAATAATAATAATAATAATAATAATAATAATAATAATTTATTATTTATACCCCGCCCATCTGGCTGAGTTTCCCCAGCCACTCTGGGCGGCTTCCAATCAAGTGTTAAAAACAATACAGCATTAAATATTAAAAACTTCCCTAAACAGGGCTGCCTTCAGATGCCTTTTAAAGAGAAGATAGCTGCTTATTTCCTTGACATCTGATGGGAGGGCATTCCACAGGGTGGGTGCCACTACCGAGAAGGCCCTCTGTCTGGTTCCCTGTAACCTCACTTCTCGCAATGAGGGAACTGCCAGAAGGCCCTTGGCGCTGGATCTCAGCGTCCAGGCTGAACGATGGGGGTGGAGACGCTTCTTCAGGTATACAGGACCGAGGCCGTTTAGGGCTTTAAAGGTTAGCACCAACACTTTGAATTGTGCTTGGAAACATACTGGGAGCCAATGCAGATCTCTCAGGACCGGTGTTATGTGGTCTCGGCTGCCACCCCAAGTCACCAGTCTAGCTGCCGCATTCTGCATTAGTTGTAGTTTCCGGGTCACCTTCAAAGGTAGCCCCACGTAGAGCGCATTGCAGTAGTCCAAGCGGGAGATAACTAGAGCATGCACGACTCTGGCGAGACAGTCCGCAGGCAGGTAGGGTCTCAGCCTGCGTACCAGTGTGGAATGCCATTACACTAGGGAGTGCAGGAAGTGGGTGGTGGGAGTTGCCCTTTGATCCTAGCCTCCTAAGAGACTTGTCCTTCCTGTCTCTAACCCTCCCTTTGTTGTGTCTGGCCAGGTGAAGTTGGGGGAGAAGGAGCAGGCTGGGCCAGAGGATTCTGAGGAGCTCATAACAGTCGATGCTGTTGGCTGCTTTGAAGATGACGAGGAAGAAGAAGATGAGGAAGAAGAGGAGGAGGAGGAAGAAGAGGAGCAGCAGCAGGGAAATGCTGGAGAAGAGGGAGCCTCTGGACAGCTGGATAAGGAAGAGTCTCTCATCAAGCAGGTATGTTTTCCAAGAAGGAGTGCAGCAGTGGCTGAATTGGATGTGCCCAATGGCAACCGAAAAAGGCTCATTTGGTTGTTACAGTGACACTGGTTGCATGTCACTCAAAATCATGGTTTTCTGTTCCTTTAGCACAGTGTTTCTCAACCTGTAGGTCCCCAGATGTTGTTGGACTACAACTCCCGTCATTCCTAGCCAGCATAACAAGTGGTCAGGGATGATGGGAGTTGTAGTCCAACAACTTCTGGGGACCCACAGCAAACCATAATTCCTAGCTTGGTGTTACATTCAAACTGGGCCATTGTAGATTGCTTCCCACCAAATCAGAATATGAAATCTTGGTGTAGGAATCATGGTTTCTTTTTATTGTAATTTTTGGTATGCTTTAAACATATTTTATATAGGTATATAGTTTTAATTCTATCAATGCTTAATTGTTTTTATTGGTTTTTCTATGTTTTTAGCAAATCTTTTTTTAAAAAAAAACAACTATAAGCCCTGTTAGGGAAAAAGGCCAGGGTATAAATAAATATATTATCATCATTGTTTGGAGCACAACCAACCAACCCCTGAATTTGGATGTAACACTAAACAATGCATTATTGTTTGCTGCTCGTGCTATAAAAAGAGCTAAACAATAAAAGTATCACAAAAATAACAGTTATTTAAAACATACAAAAAATTAAAGTAACAATAAGCTAAAAACAAATTAAAACTTGGATCAACATTCTAAACATCTGGGTTAGGCTTGTCGGTAAACATTCCTTTTTTTTTTTTTAGCAGACATCAAAAAATATAAAGTGAAGGCACCTTCTTGATATCAATAAGCAGGGAGTTCCAAGGTGTGGGTGCAGCCACACTAAAAGATTGACTTCTTACAAATGCAGAATGGGAATTCCATATGTGGTAAGGTGATATCATAGGTCCTAATTGTAACTGAAAGGCCAGGGTGAACAGATTAATTTTTTCAGTGGTGACAGAAACCCATCTAGGTTGGCACCAGCTGACCCTATGAGGGAACCACATTCCACAGTCATGGTGCCACTACTGAGAACACCTTCAGTCTGGGAATTGTAGCCTAGCAATATCTCGAGAGCACTAGGTTGGCTGGCTCCTTCTGCTTCAAGACATTTAAATTCATCTTGGTCTCCTTGCTGGCCCTAGTAGGACCAACTTGGCCAGTTAGCCCTGGTGATCATTTGATGTCTACTGACTGGGTCCCGTCCCCCCCAATGACCCCTGAATTTTTGAATTTTATTGATATTGATGCTGCATTTTATGTTGTTTTTTATGCTGCTTTTAAGTCGCGTTTTAATCAATGTTTTATATTTGCTGTTAGCTGCCCTGAGCCCGGTTTTTAAACCGGGAAGGGTGGGGTATAAATTATTATTTTTATTATTATTATTATACAAGGCTAGGTGCAGAGGTCATTAGTTGTCAAGTCTCACAGAACAGGCTGTCCTGGTTTATCCATTAGTGCTGTAGCTTATCAGCACACCTGGTGCATTTAGGGCATTGTGTTTCCTGGTCAAAAAGCTTGGCATACATTCATGCTTTCCTCCAAGTAATGGAGTGCAGTGGACTCGCATCTTAACGCAGAGGTTAGGTTCCAAAACCAGTGCATAAGGTAAAAATCACATAGAGCCCAAATTACTTTGGATTATCTCCCAGGTCTGGCTGCAAGGGGCCACTGCTTATTTGCAGCACCTCCCTCAGTCCCTGGTCCTTCCTTGAGCAGGAAATGGATCAATGGAGATGGGAGAGGGTCTTCCCCAACTTTGTGCTAACTGTCGGCTGGCAAAGTGTGGGGGGAAGCTGCATGGGGAGGTCTTTCCTGTGTCTCCGCAGTCTCCCCCAACTTCTGCGAGCAGCCAGGTCGGTGGGAAGAACGTTGGTGACTTATGGAATTCAGTTGGTAGTTCACCACACCTCATCCAGTGTGATTTACCAGCAGAGTATGTGGAGCCCCAACAGAGTCTAGAGATTTCCTGCTCTCAGCGGAACAGCTTCTTCCAGAGTCCTCAGTTAAGGGGAAAAACTGATCTCCCACAAGGTTCAAAGACAAGACAAAGCCAGACACCTCTGTCTACTAGATATAGTGCTTCTGGTCTCTGAAGTAAAGATACATGTGCAGAGAGACCCACTTGCACTATCATCATGCTAGCTAATGCTGCTGTGTAAAGCCCACAGGTGCTTCCCCTGACTCTCACAGATTCAGAGTCAGACCCTGACAGCAAAGAGGGCAGGACATACCATATTTTTCGCTCTATAACACGCACCCGACCATAACACGCACGTAGTTTTTAGAGGAGGAAAACAAGAAAAAAAATATTCTAAATGAAACAGTGGATGTATGATTTTTGTGGTTCATGCTGTGGCCACAGACATGTGATCTGATGGTGAGTTTGGGGTAGCCCAATGCAAAAATCCTGAGGATCCATGTGGATCCATGTTTGTAACCAAGTTTTTGCACCACTGCGGCCCCAGGCAACAGTGGGTGCGTGATTTTTTTGGTGCAAACTGTAGCCATGGACATGCTATGTGATCTGATGGTGAATTTGGGGTGACCCAGTGCAAAAATCCTGAGGATCCATGTGGATCTGTGCTTTGTAACCATGTTTTGAGTGGGGAGGGAAGGAAAAGCACTCAAGGGACAAGGAGCATGCGTGGGGTGGGTGGAGAAGGATGCTGCTAATAATGCAGGCGAGGGGTTTAAGGGGAGAAGGAACACGCGTGGGGTGGGTGGAGAAGGATGCTGCTAATAATGCAGGCGAGGGGTATAAGAGGAGAAGGCTCCTCTCCTCTCCCGCTTTGCTCCTTTAAAGCAAGCAGGCTCTGCTTCTCTCCCTCCTCCCCCCCCCCCCCGGCTTAGCGAGCTAAAAATCTTTCCTGCTATTTAGCAAGCTGAGTGGGGAGGAGGGAGGGACAGAGAGCCTGCTTGCTTTAAACGAGCCAACCAGACAGGAGCCGCTTACACCCTTTCCTTCCTAATGTCTCAACAAATGAGACTGATTTGTAAAACTATTACATGGAAAAAATACGAGAGAGAGACATTGCACATACTTTTGTAAATCAAGAAAATCTTTAATAAAAATACATTTATTTTTTTTAAAAAAAGTGTTGCTATGGTAACCCAGTGCACCTGGCACCCTTATCTCAGAACATCCAGACATGAGGAATGTGCTCATTAAGGCATGAGCCCAGGCGCTGTACGATTCAACCCATTGTTCACATTACACCAACAAGGGAGAGCGAGGCAGGCAGGCAGGTGGAAAGAGAGAAATGGAGGCTGGAATGGATCCCCGCAGTTCCAGATGGGATCCTGGTAGCCACTTTTTCAGGAGCTGCAGCTGACTGCCTGTTACAGCATTCGTGTAAATGCCTGTGTATTGGAACTTTCCTCCTGCTGCGTTGCAGAGTGTCTGGCTAGATGACTCTTGGAGAGGGGGATTTCTTCCAACTCCGGTTCTGTGATTTTGTGGAATGCTCTCGTGACCTCAGCTTTAGTTTGCACAGGAGCTTCTCTTCACCGTGGAATGGATGACCCTCGCTTGGGGTCCCTTCCAACCCCACAATTCTCTTATTCCCATTTCTTGTTTCCATGCATGTTGGGCTGAAGGAAGCAGCACTGGAAGATTCTGGAGGGAGTGAGGAGTACTGTCCAGATACCATCTATGGTAAGGAAACCATCACAATTGCATTGCTGCTGGCTTGGGGCTTTTTCGTCTTATTACTTCCTGCTACTACAACCCCTCCACACCATATTTATGCTTTCTAAACTAGTATTTTGCCATTACTTGAAATCTTGTAACTACCCTAGATTTAGAAATTCATTATAAAACAGGGACACTAAAGGCAATAGGCCCATAGATAACCTGTTTTTACTTTCAGGCCAGGCTCTTGCAGTAGCTAATACTGAGGGAAGGATTTCAAAGTAAGATTCCCAATAGTTTTCTTTAAAACAGCAGATATTTAAGCTTTCTTTTTATTGTTATTTCTTCCTCCTCCAATACTGGATATTCTTTAAACCATTATTTTAACATAGCCAATTTTGTTGCGCGATAATAACTGTTTATTCTGGGTGCTGCCATACCGCTGCTGCTTGTGCTTTTTATACAGAGTTTTGGGCAGCTACCCTTAGTGGTTTTTTGTTCCGTATGAAATGCTGTATCAATCTCTGCCATTTTGACAGTATTTCAGATGGAATACTAATGGAATGTTTAGGAGTATAAATAAATTCTGGGTAGGACAGTCGTTTTTACAGTAAATACTCTCCCATACCATGAGATAGATAAGGAATTCCAAAATTCCAGTGATTTCTCCCAACTCACAAAACAGCTTTTGGTAATTAATCTTTACTATATATTCTAATTTGTTTGTAACCCATATTCCCAGATATCTAATTCTGTGTTTATTTCTTCACTGTATTTTGGTTATCCATTCATTATCTTTTAAATTTTCATTTGAAATGTTCGGACCAAGCCACTCGTGATTTGTTGTAATTTATTTTATACTGTAACCTGTTATTTCCCTGTAACAAGATAATAACCTTATGACTTCTTTATAAGATTTCACAGGGTGAGGCGAAGGGAGGACCACATCATTTGGATAAAACATTACCTTAGTATTTAAAGAGCCATATTAGATCCCATGAATATGTACATTTTTGCTTACTGCTATAGCCAAAGGTTCAATAGAAATAGCAAAGATCAGAGGGGATAAATGACATCCCTGTCTAGTTCCTCTAGATTAATTGAAGAATTCTGACAACACTCCATTTGCCATTACTTGAGCTTCAGGGTGTTGATACAAAAGTTTGCCTCCCTCCTGCTAGTTTTGTCGGTCATAATCGAGATCATATGTGTGCTCAGGTGGGTTGCAGCAGTAACACCTACTCTTTTTAATTTTAATTGTGTTTTTGCACTTTTCCATTTGTTCCAGTTGCTAGAAAGAGCTGCCTGATTATCAGCTGTGCAACTGGACTACAGTGAGCAGAAAGCGCTCTCTCTCTCTATATATATATATATATTTAAAAAAGCTTTCCTTATTTAACAAGAGCAACGTTGCCTTTTAAAATATTAAATAAATAAATCCCCCTACCCTTTTTCACATATGCTGTAATGCTTCGACTTAAACAGGGATTACGTTTGGGGGACTGCACCTAAAGCCAAAATCGCGCATAGTCAAAGCACGTTGGGTGCAATGCCAGGTGGGATTGCCAAAGTCCTTTTTTTCAGACACCCAACCCCTTTTCTGCCCCTTAATTTTATTTATTTATTATGTTTTTGCTAAGCACATAAAGCTGAATGTGCACAAGTTAAAAATGGATGTAAGTTGTGGGCTTCCTGTATTTATGTATCACACAATGCTTTATTGGGGGGGTGGGAGCTTTCATTAATTCATTTTGGTTCTGTTCAGTGTGATGTGTGACTTCCCTTCCCCTCCCTCATTTCACAGGCCTGGATTTTCTGGTCCCTGTGGTAGGCTTCCTCTGCCGGCTGTGCCACAAATTCTGCCATAGCGACTCTGCTGCCCAACTTGCCCACTGCAAATCCCTGACGCATTTTGAGAATCTCCAGGTGAGACCCTCTTCTGCCATGTCTGTCTGCTCTGCCCCCCCCCCCCCGACCCATGGCTCTTCCTGTGCTTCAACCTTTAGGCTCCAGGCTTCATAATGCCTTCCTATTGCACCCCTGCTGTCTTGCCACTACAAGCCTTTCCTCCAATGCCTGCTCTGTGCTTCTAGATCAGTGTCTGTCCCACTGGCTGACAGTCCTGCTGTGTCATATTGACCATTCCATCTGCTTTCCCAAGAGGAATGGTCCTTCTCTCCATTAAGGATCCTGGCCAACTGCATGTGACCAAATGGTTTCTAAGGGGTTGATTCCAGACTAAGTTCTCTATGAGACAAGTTAGTTGTGATTTAAGGTAAAGGTAAAGGAACCCCTGACCATTAGGTCCAGTTGTGACCAACTCTGGGGTTGCGGCGCTCATCTCGCTTTACTGGCTGAGGGAGCCGGCACACAGCTTCCGGGTCATGTGGCCAGCATGACTATGCCGCTTCTGGCGAACCAGAGCAGCGCACGGAAACGCCGTTTACCTTCCCGCTGGAGCGGTACCTAGCTGTAGCGGGGACCAAGCAACAGGAGCTCACCCCGTCATGGGGATTTGAACCGCCGACCTTCTGATCAGCAAGTCCTAAGCTCTGTGGTTTAACCCACAGCGCCACCCGCGTCCCAAGTTGTGATTTAGGTTACGCTGAAATCAATGATGTGGCAGCTGTAGCTTTTCCTGAAGAGCAGAGACTTTGCATACAGCACTTGCACGTTTACTCCTTCTGGGATTGAGTGCTGTAATGCACAGACCATGGGGTTGCCGCCGAGGAATGATTCGGATTTCAGGTTAACTCAGTTCCCATTCTCTCTTCAGACTAGTCTGAGTGTCTCTGTGTTACATTGGACAGTGTCAGTAACTGTCAAACTTGTTACGTGTGATGCTACCCATTTGGCAGCAAATGTACAGTGGAGAACTGGTGCATATTTCATGCTAAAACCTGAAAAATTATGCAGCAAAAATGCACAACCAGTTCTGCAGTAAAAGGTAAAGGGACCCCTGACCATTAGGTCCAGTCGTGGCCGACTCTGGGGTTGCAGCGCTCATCTCGCTTTACTGGCCAAGGGAGCCGGCGTACAGCTTCAGGGTCATGTCGCCAGCATGACTAAGCCGCTTCTGGCGAACCAGAGCAGCGCACGGAAACACCGTTTACCTTCCCACTGGAGGGGTACCTATTTATCTACTTGCACTTCGTGCTTTCGAACTGCTAGGTTGGCAGGAGCAGGGACCGAGCAACGGGAGCTCACCCCATCGCGGGGATTCAAACCGCCAACCTTCTGATCGGCAAGTCCTAGGCGCTGTGGTTTAACCCACAGCGCCACCCGCGTCCCAGTTCTGCAATACCTACTATATAAATTTGGTCTTGCTTGTCACTAAGTCAAAGGGCCCTGAAGGACCCTGAAGTCTTGACTCCCCAACCACTGGAAATCTTACTCAGCACCACCTCTCTTCTACACTCCCCACAGATTTATCTGAAGCCATGAGGACTAGCATGCATCTTTGGTAAAAATAAAGCACAGTGCTGGGTTGTGTTCCCCTAGGACTGCCTCAGGCACACTGGCTGTCAAGGGTAGAGACCCTCTTGAGGGAGGAGTTGCTCCCAGCTGCTGTTGCACAGGTTTGTCTACCACACGTTTGTGGGGCAGCATCCTCACACTGGGGACCAGATGTACCAGTAACCTTGAATTCCTTTTATTTTCAATTGCAGCGGTACAAAGCCATGAGACTCCAGCCTGCTACTGCATTTGTGGACAAATCCAATAATCCCCAGCAGGAGCTGAGCGGCCTGCAGACGCAGACTCCGACTCCTCCTGCTCCTGCTGCTGCTCCTGCTCTTGCTGCTGCTGCTCCTGCTGCTGCCGCCGTCATTGACAAGATGGATTGTAAAACAGAGGCTTCTAGTGTAGGAAAGCAAATCACGGTGTTAATGGAAGCATGTCAGTCTTCAGGAGAAGAGGCTTCCGCTGCAGAGCAGAGTCACAATTTGAATAGATGATGTGTGTGGAGCGCTGCCCATCGTGGAGGAGGTGAAAGGGTCATCTCCCGGCTGCTAGCAATAGCTCCTTGGGGAGACAGGCCGCTGCTGCTGTAGGGAAGGATCAGGACTTCCTGTGAAGGTGGAAGAGTTCCATGGATTTTAGGGAGGGTCTCGGCAGATGCTGGAGCAGGTGCATCTGCAAAAGGGCGAGGCCAGGGAAAGGAAGCGGACGCCCTCTTTTCATCACAGCTGGTTGGCTAGGTAGAGGGCCAGATTAAGCTGCCTATTTGGTGGGGGGGAGCTTAATTCGTTGTTTTTTTCTTTTCTTTTGCTGGAAAAGCCTTATTCCTTTTCTGTCCCATCCCCCCCACCATCTTTTCCCCCTTGTCATCTCCGTTTAGAGAAATAAAAGTATGCTGTAGTTTTGTTGCTGTTTTTGTTCTGAAGGATTTAAGGGTGGGGTGAATCCATGGCTTTGCATGTCTACTCGATAACAGGATTGCTGTGAGCATTTCTCTTCGTGGCAATTCTTGAACCCGCTGGACCAGGAAAAGCACTCTGTAGAACAGCCTTTCTCAACCTTGGGGCTCCAGCTGTTGTTGGGCAGTCCCAGTAGTCAAGGATGGTGGGAGTTGTGACCCAACAACAGCTGGAGACCCAAGGTTGAGAAAGACTGGTGTAGAGAATTCCTCCTCCTTAAGTCATTTAAAGCATCCAGCGTATGATCTTCCACCTCAACTTCCTGCTTTTTAATAGAGCCACTAAAATATTTTGCATTTTTTGCAAATACAGTGTGGCGGGGGAAAGCTGGGTATTTGAGGAATATGTGGCCCTCCATTTGTTACACCCAACACCCCAGATTATTGGCTGTTCAGACTGGGGCTGATGGGACTCCAGCTCTCAATAGAACCGGGTGTGTCACACGCTCCCTTTCTCCAATCTCAGATGTAACTGACACATGCATTTTAAGCCTATGTTCATAGAAGCAACTCAGATTGTGAGTTCGAGCCCTACATTGGGCAAAAGATTCCTGCATTGCGGGGGGTTGGACTAGATGACCCTCATGGTCCCCTTCCAAATGTTGGAGGTTATTCAGAGTAAAATTGGTCTTTGAGCTCTTATTGTGAGATTACAATGGTAATTAGAAATTTCACAGGCTTAAAAGAGTGACACTGAGTTAGAACTTCATAGCAACAAATTGACATCATCCCCAAGTGCAATGACTGAAGAGTCCAATCCCATTGTGATCCGGAAACATTGCTAATGCCATGGTTCTCCCATCAGTTGTTGGACCTCAACTCCCATCATGCATGATCACTAGTTCTGCTCACTGGGAATAATGGGAGTTGTGATCCAACATCAGCTGGAGACTCAAGTTAGAAAAATACTGGTCCTCTACAGCAGTGTTTCCCAACCTTGGGCCTCCAGCTGTTTTCGAACTACAATTCCCATCATCCCTGACCACTGGTCTTGCTAGCTGAGGATAATGGGAGTTGTAGTCCAAAAACAGCTGGAGGCCCAAGGTTGGGAAATGCTGCTCTACAGGCACTGGCTTCTTTGTAGAGCCCATGGCCCTCCAGTTGTTGCTACACTATAACCCCCATCATTCCTGGCTGGGGCTGGTGGGAGTTATAGAGTCCAAGAGTAGCTGGAGAGGGCTTCAAGTTCCTCACATTCCTCCTCTTGAGCTACAACCAGGAATTACTAGAGAAAAGCAGGCAATGCTTTTACACAAATCACTAAATCAGGAGTGTGCCACCCAAGATGGGGGGGGGGCAGTGAAAGACAAACAACAAATGGAGGCCAGATGCAATATACTCCATACTTAATCCACGTTTATCTTTTCTTAGAAATAGTAAAGACAACCATTTTGGTAAACAGTGGATTCATTTAGTACAGCTTCAGAAGATAGCAAACATGTCAACACCATGATTCAGCTGAGAAAGACTGGTCCTAAATACTCTTACTGCAGAGTACACCCTGTTGCAGAAGGTATCTGTGGGCCATAGCCCAAGTTCTGGTAGACCGCTTAGTTTTTCCTAGGATTATTGCAAAGAATACCGGATGTTTTGGGCTGCAGGGGTGCCCATCCCTAAGCAGGGGTGATGACCCAGCAAGGGGAAAACAGTCATTCGTGGCTCCCTACGCAGCCATGCTGGATGACTAGACAAAATATCTAAAGTGTTTCAGCAAATTTCTGGAGCAACTGGATGGACTTTATAGCAGGGCTGGGTGGTCATTCACTGCAGCCTTATTGACCACCTTCTGGCCAGTACTACCTGTAGGTGTTGGATTCTTCATGGTAATGGGGTTCCCAGCTTGGGGGATCTCTCTGGGCTTTCCTGATCGCCTCACTCCCAAGTAGTCTGAGGACCAGCCTGAGCTTGGTGGCAGAGGTTTCTCCTCAGGATTTAGGGGAGGCAGGCTGTAGATCCACAAGGGAAGGTCCAGAACGTGGATCCATCTCCTTTTCAGAGCTGCAGAGGTCTGAGGCCATGACACTAGCTTGGGTGGACCTTGGTTGAAGTAGCGTGTTAGTACTACAAATGAGAAATTTCGTAACAGGGTAGATAAAGAGGATCATTTAATTATTGTTTAATTAACAGTTGTTGTACAAGGAGTACACAGGTTAATATTAAATAATGGAAATAAAGGACTATGAGCCATGCAGTTAAATTCTAAATTGGATCAGTTGCTTTACCATTGTGATGGGGAACCTGCAGTCTGGCAGGTGTTGCTGGACTCTTTTTTTCCTGGGCACACTCCATGCCGGCTGAGGCTAATGGGAGCTGTCCAAAACATCTAGATGGATATCAAATTGGGGAAGGCTTCTATATAGCAAGATTTCATAAAGACATTTCATAAAGATAGATAGTAAAGGAAAGCATGCCAAATATATACACTGTCTGACAAAAAGATACAAAGCCTAGATGTAAGAACGAAATGGCAGTATGAATAATATACACTGTTGAGTTGCAAATTTAGCTTAGTTTAATTGTACGTGGGTGGCGCTGTGGGTTAAACCACAGAGCCTAGGGCTTGCCGATCAGAAGGTCGGTGGTTCGAATCCCCACAACGGGGTGAGCTCCCGTTGCTCGGTCCCTGCTCCTGCCAACCTAGCAGTTAGAAAGCGCATCAAAGTGCAAGTACATAAATAGGTACCGCTCCAGCGGGAAGGTAAACGGCGTTTCCGTGCGCTGCTCTGGTTCGCCAGAAGAGGCTTAGTCAAGCTGGCTACATGACCCGGAAGCTGTATGCCGGCTCCCTCGGCCAATAAAGCGCTGCAACCCCAGAGTTGGCCACGACTGGACCTAATGGTCAGGGGTCCCTTTACCTTTACCTTTAATGGTTACATTTGCACCATTGCTTAGGGGAAAACATGGAAAAAGTAATCAGTAGGAAACTTAATTTAAAAAGAACAATGACTGAAACCAACCATACCCACAGCTTTATCACCAAGCTGTGGTGTGTCTTAATTTTAAATCAATCTGCATATTTAGTGATGTCAAGGGTCAGCAAGCAGCACTGAAAAATGTATAGACGCAACTGATGACGCGTGCGGGCACTAGTAAGAAAAAAGGTCAACCAGAGTCATCTCTACCACTACCCTATAACTGAATTCAGTGGGACTTGCTTTGTGGGACTTAGCTGTGCGCACACACGCACACACATATATATATACAGATGAAGAAGAGTTTCATGGCCTGTTTTCAATCTGTGTGGGGCAGGGCCTGAGCTCAATGTTGGAACGTGTATTTTATTCAGAAGGTCCCGGCTCAGTCTCTAGGATCTCCAGATATGCCTGGAAAAAATTCTCTGCCTGAAACCCTGGAAAGCTGTGACACAGTGCAAGGCAACCTCCCATGTTTTGCATTTTTGAAAAACCATGCGTTCTTAATATGTCACATTCCTAAATAAGCAAGTGTTGCCACAGGGCATCTCAGTGAGGCTGAGCCCCTGGGATTGTCTCCAGTGTTCGCCGTTAACTCAGAGTAGACCCACTGAAAGTGATAGCTATGACTTCCCTAGCAACATACCTTTCAATGAGTCTGCTCTGAGTAGAACTTACTTGGACACAACCATTAAGTTGTGTTGGTCTCACCCTGCAAAGCACGGGCCCAGGAGATTCCCTCCCACCCACCGTCTAAATCTGAACAGAGTCTTGCTTTATATTACAGTATTTCCTAAAGCCTGTCCACGCCAAGCCAGACTCCTCAATCCTGATCCCTTGTTCAAAATGCAGCAAGACGCTATCTCCCACCCCAGGCCAAAAAATGGTCTTATATTCAATTTTTTGGTTGCAACAACAACTTGACAGCTCAATTTGTATTCCATGTTAAATGGCAGGGCTCCCATTTGTAACACCACAATTTTTAAATACTTAATAACTGTGTGATGGGCTATTAATATTCTCTGGACTGCATTTAGACCCAACCATCACTTGTGGGCTTGTGGTTGGGTGTTTTGAGTCAAGAGGATAAACCACATGGCAGTGACCCTTTTTCAGAAAAGGGAACCAAGCACTCCTTTTTGCCTCTGGCCAACTTATTTTACAAGGGAAAGGAATGACCCTGCCTATCTCATGGCTGATTTTATTGCTGAACAAGCTATGTTTCCTTTCTTGATCAAAACAAAATAAAATGCAGTCATACCTCGGGTTACTGACACTTCAGGTTGCACGTTTTCGGGATACAGACGCGCCGAAACCCGGAAGTACTGGAACAGGTTACTTCCAGGTTTTGGCACTCAAGCAGATATCTTTTGGTATCTGAAGAAGTGTGCATGCACACGAAAGCTCATACCAATAACTAACTTAGTTGGTCTCTAAGGTGCTACTGGAAGGCATTTTTTATTTTTATTTTATTTATTTTATTTTGTTTCGACTACGGCAGACCAACACAGCTACCTACCTGTAACTACTGCTTTCTTGATAAATGGATGAGATGAGACAAGGACGGAGCTGCCCTTTACAGCTCAATATCAAGAGCTGTTCTCGCCCACCCCCCTTAATATAAACGTTTGCTTCAAAGTAAAAGGAAAATAGGATTTTAAATCAGAAGCACTGCCCATCATGGCAAACAAGATACAATTCCACAATGTGCACATCAACACTGTAAACTCTGGCTGCTTTTAAACCTGTTTATTGCCATCCCTTTGGCAAAGGAATTCTGGGTAATCTGGTATGGGTGCCAGTCACTCACTGCAGTCTATAATGAAATGAAGCAGGTTACTGAATTTAGAATTCTGCACATCCAGCGATTGCTATACCAAAGAACTAATGCCAGGAAATAAGCCTTGCAATGATGAGCATGTTTGCCAACTCAATTGCCATCCCGGAAAGCTCATCAACTACTATTCCCTCCTAATTTAAAGGTGTTTATAAGAGACAGAGGTCTAATAACCAGGGCCGTCTTACCCATTAGGGTTAGTGGCACCCTGCGCCATGGCGCCCACCAATCAGGGCGCCCAGCAGGGGGAGTCTGGGACCAGGGATCAGGAACAGCTGCGAGGGCATGCTGGGCAGCGGCGGCGGCAACAGCAGCTCTTCCTACAGCCAGCTATGTTCTCTTGCTTCCTGCTTGGGAGAGAAGGCAGCGATGTGCAGAGCTGTGCGGTGCCCTTCTCCCTCCTGCCCGCCCCGCAGCAGTAGCAGGGAGGATGGGGAGGGGCACCGAGAATGTTGCCCCCCGTCCCTTCCATTGAGGAAAAAGGTGGAGGAGGGATTCATTCAGATTTGGGGTGGGAGGGGAAAGCTGTGGGGGGTGCGCACTACCATTAGGACTCAGTTCAGAGGTAAGGATGGACTCGAGAGAGTGCTCTCCATGCAGTTGGTTAAAAACAAACACCAACAAAATGTCATTTAAAGACAGGGGCCGGTTTTAAGGGCCTATTAGATTCAGCAGGGCTTACTCTCAGGTAAGTGCAGTTAGTTTTGGATCCTTTTTAGGTTCAGGAGGTCACTGCTTTACACCCATACCCACCCACCCACCCAATATTTGAAAACGTCATCTTTGTACTTAAACACAAAATGGCCGGGGACTTCATTCTCTGTGTTTTTATCAATTTATTTAAAGAACAACAAACTGGTGATTGCTTTAACTTTTTGATATGTGTTGATTTGAATCATGAGGATGAATTAGAAGAACAGCTGAGTCTTGAATGAGTCTTGCTTTAGAATTGAGGACTTCACTAGATTTTCTTCTGCCTTATTTTATTTTGTTCTAAGGGCTTGTTAGAGATAATGTGTAAACGTGGTGTCAGCTCCCTAAAAAAAAGGTCAACAAGTCTGGCCACCCCCCTTAAAAAAGGTTAACAACTCTGGGAAACGGGGGGAGGGGAGGGCCATCGGAGGGATCTTTGCACCACAGCGCCGGATATGCCCTGCTAATAACCAACAACTTCTGTCAAAACTAAGGAGACTTGTTTCATGTATCTCATCATGGAACTACATCTAGCCAGACAGAGCTATGGGCTAGTAACCTTGGGAATCAGATTTTCCTCAAGAGCCTTCCAATTCTTGACATGGCAAATTCATCCAGAAAGGACACGGCTCAATGTAAATCCTGATGTGTGATTCAGCTTAGACCTATCCAGTTCTGGCCCTCTACCCTTAACAAACAAGCAGACCCCGTTTCCTTGAGAGCTTAACAACATAAGCAGCCATAACCACAGCTCCGGAGGGGAGGAGAGCAGGTAGGAGATATTTAAAACAAACACACGAACCAAAAGCACCTTTTCTACTCAAACTAACCCCATGGTGAAGGGGAGGTCCCACTGGAAGCAGCAACCATGTGCCTACACCTCCTTTTATCCCACATAAGGTTGGTGGACATTAGGTGTCTGGCTCAGGTCTCTGCGTGTCGTTTTCCCCATCCTCGCCTTCGCTCAGCTGCTGCAACTCCAGGCGTGTCTGACGGTTGCATTCCAACAGCTCCTTCAAGCGGGCGTGCAGGTGGTCGTTCTTCTCCTCCAGGTGATCCAAACAAGAGTTGATCTGGTCCAGCATAGAATTTATAGCTGCATATTCTGGTTGGGGAAAGCAGAGTGAGAGGGAGTAAGATGACCTGAGTACAAAAATCAGACCTTTTGTTCTAGCATGAATTGACAGTGCAAAATTAAGTCAGTAGCCAGTGGCACCCACAAACAGAATAAGACCTGGGTTCAAGGTCCATATCAACCAGACAGCCGCTAATTCAGGGGCAGGAAGCCATTTCCCTCTTAATTCTGCTGGACTACATCATTTCTGCGGGACTTGACATCTTTCCGCAGGGCCTGCAAGACCTGGCCTGCAAGACCTGGCCTGTTCCACCTGGCCTTTGGTTTGGACTCAGTCTGACCCTCATGGTTTTGACTTTTAAAATGAGGCTGCATTTTAAATTGCATTTTAACCTGTATTTTAAATTGTTTAGAAGGGGTCAAATGGCCGAAATATTGGGAAATTTTGGAACAAGACGGAGATAGACTGAAATTGCAGAGTTTTGAAAAATTAAAAAACAAAGTGCGAGACTGGCTTCATTATTATCAAATAATGGAGGCATTTAAATTAGACAGGAAAATTGGCTTCCAGGTGGAAAAATCAAAATTAGAAACAGAATTGTTAGAACCCAATACCAAGAATCTGTCAAGAATGTATAACTTGCTGCTGAAATGGAATACTCAAGATGAAACGGTAAAATCGGCTATGATTAAATGGGCACAGGACGTAGGACACAACATTATGTTTGCTGACTGGGAACAGTTATGGACCACTGGTATGAAATTTACGGCATGTAATGCCTTAAGAGAGAATATTATGAAAATGATATACAGGTGGTACATAACCCCAGTCAAGCTTGCGAAAATCTATCACTTGCCCGATAACAAATGTTGGAAATGTAAAGAAACTGAAGGTACATTTTTTCACCTTTGGTGGACGTGCCCAAAGATTAAGGTTTTCTGGGAAATGATATATAATGAATTAAAAAGGTATTTAAGTATACCTTCACCAAGAAACCAGAGGCCTTTCTCCTGGGCATAGTGGGCCAAATGGTGTTAAAAAGGATAGAACTTTCTTTATGTATGCAACAACAGCAGCAAGAATACTCATCGCAAAGTATTGGAAGACACAAGAACTTCCCACGCTGGAGGAATGGCAGATGAAACTTATGGACTACATGGAATTGGCGGAAATGACTGGCAGAATCCGTGACCAGGGAGAAGAGTCGATGGAGGAAGATTGGAAGAAATTCAAAGACTATCTTCAGAAACACTGCAAAATTAAGGAATGTTAGAGTGATGTTGGATTGAAAATAAGTGGTTTCCAGCTGTACGGGTTAAAGCTAAGGATAGATTAAGATTAAAGATTAAGATTAAAGATGTTTAAAGAAATGGAAATTTGATAATAAAAGGGAAAAATTTAAAGGTATATGACATTAAGAACAAGGATTATGTTTAAAAAAAGCTGAAGCTATATAGTTTAATATTTCATTAAATTAAAGATTGGGTTTAAAAAAGTGGAAAAGAAACTGCTGGACAAATAATGTAGATTGGAATACAAAAGAGGGAGGTATGAGGAAGTCCAGAAAATAAGTAATTCAAAATTGGGAATGTAAAAGAGAGGTTGTTTTAAATTGTTATGTTGTGTGTTTCTATTGTTAAATCTTGTATTGTTTTTTTGTGTGTGTTGCTTTTTCTTTTTTCTTTGTTTAAAACTTTAATAAAAATTATTAAAAAAAAAAAATTAAATTGTTTAGAAGGTCGGCGGTTCGAATCCCGTGACGGGGTGAGCTCCCGTTGCTCGGTCCCTGCTCCTGCCCACCTAGCAGTTCAAAAGCACGTCAGAGTGCAAGTAGATAAATAGGTACTGCTCTGGCGGGAAGGTAAACAGTGTTTCCGTGTGCTGCTCTGGTTCACCAGAAGTGGCTTAGTCATGCTGGCCACATGACCCGGAAGCTGCACACCGGCTCCCTCAGCCAATAAAGTGAGATGAGTGCCGCAGCTGCAGAGTCAGCCACAACTGGACCTAATGGTCAGGGGTCCCTTTCACTTTAACTTTACCTTACTGAAATTTTATTGGTATTAGCCACCCTGAGCCTGCCTCTGGCTGGGAGGGCAGGGTATAAATAATTTTTTTTTTTATTATTATCATCATCATCATCCCAATGGGAGTCCAACACTTGGGAGGCCACAGAATCCACTTGAAACAGGTTGTCAGGCAGGCAGGCACAGAAAGACTCAACCATGGGATTTAACTGAATAGATCAAATCAACAAAAATGTACACATGGGAGAAAAACAGTTTTAAACTACCGTACTTGTAGCAAACTGCAGGTGTACTTGTATGGAAAATTATTCTAAAGTGTTTAAATCTGCCCGGTTACCAGGCAGAGACTTTAAAGAAAAAAATTGATTTAAATAATTTAAATCAATCAAACTGCCTCTGGGGACTTCAGCTCTAAGAGCCACAGTCAATGGCAAATGGGTGCAGGATTGTAACCAGAGTTAGACATGTCCTCCAAACATGCACACATTTGCTGCGCTAAGAGTGGGAAGCTAAGACTTTCCCCTGATGTTATATCTTTCCATCTGAAGGGATTTGGTAGTTGCATGAAGTAAACCCTTCAACGATAGGAGTCCCCAACCCTGTCAGTCTGAAGATCCACTGCCCAGACATAGTTTCACCAGACTATTATTATTTATTCTTTAAACTTCATATGAGGATCACAGGACAGTTTGCAATATAAAAACACAGAAATACATAGCCTGGTAGCAAACAAAAACAATACCACCACCCCTAGTCCATAGACTGTTTAGCCATAGGCCTGGTAGAAGAGGTATGTTTTCACCTGGTGCCTAAAGGTATGCAATGAAGGCTCCAGGTGAGCCTCCCTGGAAAGAGCATCCCACAAATTGGAAGCCACTGCAGAAAATTCTCATGTTGCCACCCTCTGGACCTCTTGTGGAGGAAGCCCACAAAGAAGGGCCTCAGAGGATGATTGCAGGGTCCCAGACTGTTTATACGAGGAGAGGCAGTCCTGAAGGTATTGTGGTCCTGAGCTATTTAAGGCTTCATAGGTCAAAACCAGCACTTTGAATTGGACCTGGAAACCAACTGACAGCTAGTTCACTTGGGCCAGGATCAGTGTAATATGTCCAACCGTCTTGCCCCTTAAGCCAATGTCGCTGTTGAATTCTGCACTGGATTTCTGAAGTTTCTGAACTGTCTCCAGAGGTGGCCCCACAGAGCCAGCCCCAGGTATAACGCTGACCTAGAAGTTATCAGAGCACGGACAACAGAAGTTAGGCTATCCTTGTTCAGATAGGGGAGCAGCTGGGTCACCAGCCGAAGCTGATGGGAGACACTCTGTGAATAACTAAAACGAATAATGAAGCCTAGAAATCAGTAAGAATGGTTCCAGATTTGTTAATAATAATAATAATAATAATAATAATTTATTATTTATACCCCGCCCATCTGACTGGGTTTCCCCAGCCACTCTGGGCGGCTTTCAATGGAATATTAAAATACGATAGTCTATTAAATATTAAAAGCTTCCCTAAACAGGGCTGCCTTCAGATGTCTTCTAAAAGTCTGGTAGTTGTTCTTCTCTTTGACATCTGGTGGGAGGGTGTTCCACAGGGTGGGTGCCACTACCAAGAAGGCCCTCTGCCTGGTTCCCTGTAACTTGGCTTCTCACAATGAGGGAACCGCCAGAAGGCCCTCAGCGCTGGACCTCAGTGTCCGGGCAGAACGATGGGGGTAGAGAAGCTCCTTCAGGTATACTGGCCATTTAGGGCTTTAAAGGTCAGCACCAACACTTTGAATTGTGCTCGGAAACGTATTGGGAGCCTGGACATGGTAGTTTTCTACAGGAAGGGATTATTGTTATTTAATATTGAAGAAAGCTAGACTATGGGGAGCCTGTACTTGTACGGTAAAGAGGCACGGTTCCTACAGGTTACTCAGCGAGGCTCAAACCTGCTTTACTCCTAATGCTGCAATCCTATACGTGCTCTGTAAAGGTAAAGGTAAAGGGACCCCTGACCATTAGGTCCAGTCGTGACCGACTCTGGGGTTGCGGCGCTCATCTGGCTTTATTGGCCGAGGGAGCCGGCGTACAGCTTCCAGGTCATGTGGCCAGCATGACTAAGCCGCTTCTGGCGAACCAGAGCAGCACACGGAAACGCCGTTTACCTTCCCGCCAGAGCGGTACCTATTTATCTACTTGCACTTTGACGTGCTTTCGAACTGCTAGGTGGGCAGGAGGAGGGACCGAGAAACGGGAGCTCACAGGAATCACGGGATTCGATTCGCGGACCTTCTGATCGGCAAGTCCTCGCTCTGTGGTTTAACCCACAGCGCCACCCGCGTCCCTCATTACGTGCTCTGTACCAGGGGTCAAATGCAGTCTCTCTACCTGACCATCAGGACCCTCACCGGACGGCACCCCTCGAGAACCCCGCTTCACCCGCTCCTTGAGCATTTTTTCCTTGGCTGGAACGTGCCCTTGAACTCTGACGACGACTCTTCCTCGCCTGAGTAAGAGAGGAGCGCGTGAAAACCAGCCTGACGCTGCACACAGGTAGAACTGACGTTTGCGAGGGCCGGAGGGTTTGATCTCAGGTAAGTGCATGTAGGATCCCGCACCGATATGACTGAAGGCTTAGAAACTGCGCTATCAAACCCAGCCAGCGATTTAAAGAATGGAGGGCTGTGTTGAAAAGGGGACATGGCGGGAGGGGGGCGCTGCTGCTTTTGGAAGGCTTAATCCGTGTTACCTGCCTCCCCGAAGCCATTGTGGTCCTCGCCGTCCTCCCGCTCCTCTTCCTCGCCCCTCCCCAGGCTCAGGTGCGGCTCTCCATTGGGGCCTGACATTGCTGCCCAGGCGAGCACGGAAATCGCCTCCCAGGTTTGCAAAGCGGGTGGGTGTGTAAGGGGTTAAGCCCCGCCCCTTGCTTCCCGGATGGAACGCGGAGACGCTGTTGCAAAAGGGCGAGCCACGCCCCCTTTCCCCCACGCTGTCAGCTTCCATTGAGCCCTCTAGCTAGGGCTTTTCAGCCTTGACGGAGCGGGGGAGATGGAGAACCGAGCTGTCAAAAAGGAAGTAAACACCCCAAGTGTAAAAGTAAATAGTGTGTGTGGGATAGCACGTATTTTAAGTGACAAGCTTTATCCACTTTCAAATCTATACTGGATTTGAAACTGGTTTCACGTCCGTGCGTCCCCCACCAACAATTTAATTTTATTGGTTTTCATTTTCAAAAATACAAATGTTGCTGCACAGAAATACAAATTTGTTTGCAAATGCTCACAGCAACTGAAGGGAGGAACAGCAATCCAAAGATAAGTTAGCAGAAATTGAAAACTAAATACTGTATTGACAGCCATTGGAGAAAACCCAAGCAGTTAATTTGCAATGTGATATGTTATGAGGTAGGATGTTAAACTGGAGAATACAGAAAAGCAATAGTTTAAAAACTGTCGGTATTTTGGATTTACATGTTTCACTTTCCGTCTCTTCACTACTAGTTGTGCATACCTGAATTAAAACTAAAAAATAATAAGGAATGGAGGAGAAGAGAATGACGAAGGGGGAGAGGAGGTAAAATAATCTGGATATGACAGACTGCATTACGCACTGCAGGTACTGCTCTGCCACATGCGCCATCATTTGTGTAATTGATAAAATCATACCAAACCACATAGAAATTGCCGTGTTTCTTTTGTCCTCTTGCCATTTTAAATTTTTGTGTCTGTTAGAAATTGGTTTCATTTATGGAATTCATTATAGAATTTTCATTTCGTTTATTCATTTGTGTCTGTTAGAAATTGGTTGTTTTTAAATGCATGAATTTTTATTTGCTGTTGTTGTTTGTATTTGTTAATTTTTTATACTGTCCTTCATCCGAGGATCACAGAGGTGTAGCCAGGCAGGGCAGGGGGCACTGGGTGCCATACTGTGGGGTGCGGCACTTATCACGGGGCCTGCAGTGTGCCCAAGTCACGCATCTCTCCTGGGACTGATGTGGTGGTCAAAATGCTTGTGTCCACCTGCAGCCTCCCACTCTACAGCTGCGGGGGAGGTGGCAGTAAGTCTCCACGCAGCGCCCTGCCCCAGCTTACCCCACGCAATGGGCAGTTCACTCTTCCCCTGGGCGCAGGGCACACACACCAACCACCCTGGGCACCTGAGGGCTAGCTACGCTGCTGCAAACAATGAAAACAATAACACACTTCTTCTCCAGTTTTAAAGACCATGGATTGCTTAATTAGCCAAAGGTCTGGAAGAAGGCTTAGCGCCTAAATATATGTAGAGAATGTGTGCCAGGCGACCCTCCCTGGAGAGTGTTATGTACTGAAGTTCTCACCCTGGGCCAGCAGGGGGATACTGTAGATAGTTTTCACTCAGGTCCACATACGCAGATAAGGAATTGAAAGTGACGTTCAGTGATTGGATAGTTACAGAAAATGGTTACTGTTGCGTTGTAGTGGAGCTCTATATAAGCAAGCTGGCTGAACCCTTCAGCTCAGTTCTGTTCTGGCCTGTGAATAAACAAGAGCTGTTTGAAGAATCGCTGTGTCATCTGATATGTTCACCCACAACTTAACACTGGCAATGGAGGTGGGATGGATGGACATCAGAGCACAGCCAGATGCGGCCACCCTCTGAATGAGGAGCCAACACAGAAAAGGCTCATTCTAGTGTTGCCACCCTCAGGACCTCTCATAGGGGTCACACAAAGAAGGGTTTTCAATGATGCAGGGTTCAAGTTAGTTCATACACAGTGGAACCTCGTTTGTCAAACATAATCCGTTCCGGAAGACCGTTCGACTTCTGAAATGTTCAGCAAACGAGGCGCAAAGAGCGGTCGGCAGAGTTAATGCAGAAAAAAAGGAAAAAACCGCAGCGGAAGCCGTTTGACTTTTGAGGCGTGTTTGAAAATGGAAGCAATTACTCCCGGGTTTTTGGCATTCAGAAACCGAAACGTTCGGCTTCCAAGATGCTCAAAAACTGAGGTACCACTGCACTGTATTTTTATGCAATATATTGTATATTGATTAAAACATTGGTTTTAATTATGATTGCACAACATGCAGTGGTAGCAACTCCTGAGAAGTAAAATTTCACTTAGTGAAAAGTTAAAGCAGATTAAAGGTGCTTTCAAGGTGTCACTATTGTGAGGTGGAGTTCAATCATCTGCTGGCAACTTTAGGTTGTCTTTGTTTGTTTTGCTTATTCCATCTATATCCCTCTTCCTCCAAGGAGCTTGGGGTGGTGTCCATGGTTCTCCCCCTCCTTATTTAATTCCCACAACACTGTGAGGGTAGGTTAGGCTGAGAGGTAGCAACACACCCAGTGAGCCTCATCCCCAAGGAGGGTGGATGTGGAATTTGAACCCTAGTCTCTCAAATCCTAGTCTGGCACTCTAACCAAAATGTGGGGTATAAATAAATATATTAAAAATATTGATGTTAATTATGATAATAATACCACACTGGCATATATGCAGATAATTTTTTCTACATTTGGGGTTATTTTGGGTGGTTGTTTTTTTTGTTCTGTTTTTACATTTGGGATCATTTTACATTCATTTTTACTGTGAAGTCTCTTCAATATATTTTATGAGAAGCAATTCATAGATAGACTCCAATAAGCGAACATTCACTGTGTTGCACTGTGCTGCAGTGCACTCATCACACTGCAGTGTTAAAGGAGATTATTAGTACTAGTAGGAAGCAATTTCTAGGGGGAGCTGCCAGCCTCGTTTCCTGCGCCTTGAACTGAAAAAATCTGATCACCCTAATTGCATCTGAATTGACAGATGCAAGCGAATAGGCGGTCCCTGCAAGCATTGCGGAATCAATTTGGCGCCCTCCTGATGTTGGACTCTAACTCCCATCAGCCTCAGCCAGCGTGCATGATGGGAGTTGTAGTCCTACGTCACCAGGTAGGCTGCTCCTGGCGAGGAGGTTGATGACGGAGGGGAGGAAAGGTCAAAATCTGTGACTTTGACAAGCCACGCCCCATCTGCTTAAATTATATGGTTATGGAGAGGGTGGGCACCAGGCAGAGATCGGAAGGGCAAGAAACTGTCTTCATAATTGGAAGCTGCACCACAAAATGCATACAGATCCCCAAACTGGAGGCCTTTTTTGTGTGTTTCTGAAGTTCCTCCTTTTGCAAAGAAGACGGGGAGGTTTATTTTGTCATGCTGGATTGTGCTTGAATTTTTATAGCAGGTTGCATAAACGCTCTTGCAATGCATGGGATAAAAGTTATTCTCAGTATCATAATCATAACCAACCCACTCATACCCACCTTGGTTTTCTTTTTGAGTAAAGCATGCATAAAGGTAAAGGGACCCCTGACCATTAGGTCCAGTCGTGGCCGACTCTGGGGTTGCGGCGCTCATCTCGCTTTATTGGCCGAGGGAGCCGGCGTACAGCTTCTGGGTCATGTGGCCAGCATGACTAAGCCGCTTCTGGCAAATCAGAGCAGTGGACAGAAACGCCGTTTACCTTCCCGCCGGAGCGGTACCTATTTATCTACTTGCACTTTGACGTGCTTTAGAACTGCTAGGTTGGCAGGAGCAGGGACCGAGCAACGGGAGCTCACCCCGTCACGGGGATTCGAACCGCTGACCTTCTGATCGGCAAGTCCTAGGCTATGTGGTTTAACCCACATAGGAGGCGTGAAATAACCTTAAGCCCTACTAAGTGCAGTGAAAGAAACTGACCCCCCCCAACACACACAAAGTGGGCGCTGCATCCCCGAGTGGAGGGCTCAGGGCCCGCGTGCCAGGCTGCAATCTCCCCTCCCCACACACTTTCATGGGAGCATGAAATTCGGTGCAACTTCCTTCCTGGTACCCCTACATAAGGGGCAACTAGCCTGGACAGGCTCAAGTAAGAGTAATCCCCTTTAAAATGATTCTCACAGCCTGATTTGCCTCAGGATTGAATACATTTTCCGGCGAAGACATTTTCAGTCGTGTTTTCTTCTCCCTTCTCCCAATATTTGTTGCTGCCGAATGTCATTTTCTTTTTCTAATTTATCTAAACTGTATAATCTATTGTTGGAGTGGCATACAAAGGATGAAAAAGTTAAATCTGTGGTGATAGATTGGGCAAGAGATGTGGGACATAACATAATGTTTCAAGACTGGGAAAGGTTGTGGAGGAAGGGGGGTCAAGTTCACTGCATGTACGGTGTTAAAGGAAAATATGAAAATGATGTATAGATGGTACTTAACTTCTGTAAAATTAGCAAAGATATATCACAATAGTGATAATCTATGTTGGAAATGTAAAGAAAAAGAAGGAACCTTTTATCATATGTGGTGGACCTGCCCCAGAGTGAAAGACTTCTGGGAGAAGATTTATAATGACTTGAAAAAAATGTTGAAATATACATTTATTAAGAAACCAGAGGCCTTTCTTCTTGGAATAACAGGTTTGGAATTGCCCAAGAAAGATGTTAGATTGTTTTCGTATGCCACAACTGCTGCTGGGATTTTATTGGCCAAGGATTGGAAAACACAAGAAGTGCCAACAGTGGAGGAATGGCAGATGAAGATGGACTTTTGGGAGCTAGCCGACCTGACTGGAAGAGTCCGCGACCAGAAGGAGGAGGAGCACCAGGAGGAATGGATGAAATTTAAAGACTATTTAGCTAAATATGCTAAGATAACTTTAATAGAAGGATTTAAATATGTGATGTTATAGAACAATATGTTTAAAGTTAAATATGAAAAGAAGGAAAGATGTTAACTGACTAAGTAAATCTTATGAGAAATCAGTTTTGGAAAACTGTTACAATGACATACATTGAAACTCAGCCAGGGGGATTCGAGGAAGTCACCTAACAATGTTAACAAAAGTGGAATTATTACAGTTAGGATTTATGTTTGTTTGTGTTTGTTATTAATTTGGAAAATTCAATTAAAAAAAATTGGGGGTGAAAAAGAATGTCATTTTCTTTTTCTGCATTATATTTCAGATCCCTTTCTGAATTTTTTTCATTTTAGTTTTTAACTTGTGAACCACGCAGAGGACTTTTGTCGTTAGGTGGAATATGAATGAATATTGGAAAGAAATAAACAAACAAATGATGGTAAGAACCACGTTGAGAAACCCAACTGAGCGATAAACCCAATTCGATACATTACTGCGCAGCGCGGCGCATGCGATGCAATGCGATTTAAAAAAATAAAAATCAGTGTAGGGCTGCGCACGTGCATTTCAGGCCGGAGCTTCAAAAATCTTGCAAATCTGGTAGGGGCTCTGTCTCTTTAAATCCCCTTTTGTTATATTCCTAAACTTCCGGACCCTCCCGCGCCGCTTTTTTCCCTCCGGAGAGCGAAGATGGCAGCGTCTTGCTGCGGCAGCTGCGCGAAGGGCTTCTGCCAAATTGCACGAAGGGGTCTCCTGGTCTCCGTGGGGGCCGGGAGCCGGGGCCGTTGCATCGCCTCCTCCGGCGCGGGCAGCTATGGGCGAGGCTGGCCCGGGGCAGGGAGACCCCTTCTGCTGGGGGCAGTCTTTGCCCTTGGGGGCGCCTTTGGCGCTTACCGGACCCTCCAGCGCCGCTTCCGAGGCCAGAAGCCTCTCGCGAGGCAAGAGGCGTCCAAGGTGAGGCGGGAAGGGAAGCGGAACGGGGCGCTCTCCTCCAGGGATGGTTTCTGCCGGCGCCTCTTTCGTTGCGCGGCTCCTGAATGGCAGGGGGTTGGGCTAGATGACCACTGGGGGTACCCCTCCCGACTCCGCAGTTTTGTGAAGCTCCCTTCCAGCTGGTAACAAAGGGAGCTGGCTTGGAGCGGCCTGCTCTGGCTGGCAATGCCTTTGGCACCAGCTTGCCCGCACGTGCCAAAAAGCGCAGTGCAATGCAGTGCATAATAATATACGCAGTGCTTTTTTTCCTGGGGGTACGCAGGGGTACTCATACCCTAAACATTTTGGGAATCTTTGTATTTTTTTGTCCATTTACTGTAATTATTTCCCCCGATTTGAACTTTCAAATGGTGAATTTCTTGAGTCATAATGAGAGTACCCCTAAATATATATATATATATTAGAAAAAAGCGCTGATAATATGTACCTAATCCCTCTTGCTTCTCTGGGTGGAGGACAGAAAGAGAGGCAAGGGAGGGTGTCTAGAAGTTTCTACTTTAATATGGGTGAAATTCACATTCATTGGTCCACCCACTTTTGCCTAAGGCTCTGCCTGCATGTGGCCCTTAGAAAGTTGCCCATGTGGAATTGTGGCCCTTGGGTCCACAGTGGCTGGCAGCAATGGCTCTGTTTCAGAGCAGGAGACATTCCCAGCTTGGAATTGCCACTGTGGATTGAACCTGGGTCACAGCCCAGCCTAAGGTGGGTCATAGGAGCAGAACGACCACCATACAGTTATATGTGGAGAAAGGTGTTTGGGATAAATAAGGGTTCTGGGTCTGCAAAGGTTGCAAATTGCTAACCCAACCTATTGGTGGTCTTCAGCCAGTGAGTTTGGCTTGCATCTCAGGTGGGTAGCAACAGCAGCATCACTGATACCATACTAATAAATGTATAAGTAAATTATTTTTAAAAATATTTCTCTGTTAGTTTAAAACTCTTTACCTGTTTCTGTGTTGTTTTCTCATGAAAATCAATTTTTAAAAATTTAAAAAAAAAACCTCTTGCCATCCAGCAACACTCTTACCTTGTAAGCAGTTTAAAAGAGCCACCAGTGCAAACTGTTTTAGCTGATAAATAAAAGTGATTCTCCATTGCACCTGGAGGGGAAATGCGGATTTGAAAAGTTTGAGCACGAGGAACCTGACGCTTATTCCACTTATTTGGAATAGGGATAGGGACCAGAAGAGCTGTGCTCAATCTGGCGGATTCCGCATTCCCCTTTATGATGTGTAGTAAGTGGATGGAGTCAGTCATTCAGTTTTATTGCACATAGCCAAAGGCTGCCGCAGTGTACACAGAATCATTCAACAATTAAAAGAAAATACGCTGGATTAATACAAAAAACTTAAAACATTTATATTATCAAGACATTACCTACTCTAAGCAGAGCTATAAAAGTACCTTAATATACAGGTTAAGACATTAAACAATAAAATTTATAGGCTAAAATCATCACATGGCCACTAATATATTAAAAAAATAATGTTAATTAATACAATGTGCAATTATATTCAGAGTTTGGTGATAAAGGTAGAATATAGCTTGATGTAGACAGGGTCAAATAAATTCATCTCCTTTACAGTTGGTGGCTACCTTGGCTATATAATTTGCTCTAATTTTCCTAGCGGCAGTTGCAAAGAGTGCTACACGCCAGGTCACATACTTATCTGTGTCTGCGAGGAGATATAAAATCATGTCAGAGGGGTTCTGGCCAGGAGACCTTGTCCTTATAGGTGCTAAAAATCGTTCTCTTGCTTCATTATATAAGGGGCAGCGCAAGATGTAATGCATAAGGTCCTCTACTTCAGGACATCCCCTAATGCAAACATGTTCTTTTGTTGGTATGCCTCTGTGTCTCCCATCTCTATAAGCAGATAGACTAGAGAAAAGTGTTCGTCCCTCTCTCATCACACTAGAAGTCAGGGTGGGACATCCAGTGAAGCTGAATGTTCAGGACCACCAGCAGAGAAAAAGAAGTCCATCAGAAGACGGTAATGGCCACCAACATGGATGGCTTCAAAGCAGGACTGGACAAATTCACGGAGGAGAATGCTATTCATGGCTCCCAGGCATGATGGCTATGCCTTGCTTCCACGGTTGGAGGCACTATTAATAAAAATAAAAATAAAAATAAATTTATTTATACCCCGCCCATCTGGCTGAGTTTCCCCAGCCACTCTGGGCGGCTTCCAATCAAGTGTTAAAAACAATACAGCATTAAATATTAAAAACTTCCCTAAACAGGGCTGCCTTCAGATGCCTTTTAAAAATAAGATAGATGCTTATTTCCTTCACATCTGATGGGAGGGCGTTCCACAGGGCGGGCGCCACTACCGAGAAGGCCCTCTGCCTGGTTCCCTGTACCTTTGCTTCTCGCAGGGAGGGAACCGCCAGAAGGTCCTCGGTGCTGGGCCTCAGTGCCCGGGCAGAACGATGGAGGTGGAGACGCTCCTTCAGGTATACTGGACTGAGGCCGTTTAGGGCTTTAAAGGTCAGCACCAACACTTTGAATTGTGCTCGGAAACCGGTCTCAGGACCGGTGTAGTTATGTGGTCCCAGCGGCCTCTCCCAGTCACCAGTCTTTTGCTTTTGAATGCCAGTTGCTGGAGAATGCCCTTGTGCTTGGGAACTTCTCATTGGGGCATCTGGTTGGCCACCCTGAGAACCAGAGGCTGCATGAAATGGACCCCCTTGGACTGATCCAGCAGAGCTCTTCTATTCTTATGTTCCTCAAAGTGGCCTGGGAGGTGATGCCAGGAAGCCCCCCACCTCAGTAGAGAGCCAAAGCAAGGCTACTCAGGGTAGACTGCTTCTGGCCATGAGGGCTCCTTTAAGCTGTCGTAATAAGCAGCTTTTTGTAGCCTTATTCCTCTGCCTGTGATAAACGCTGCTTTTTTTGGGGGGGGGAGGTATTTCTTTAGCCAGATTAGTGATGCCCTTGACATCTCTGCCTGTTCAGCTCCCAGAGGAGAACCTGCAGTTGACCCTCTACCAGTACAAGACCTGCCCCTTCTGCAGCAAGGTCCGAGCTTTCCTGGATTATCATGGGCTGCCTTATGAAGTCGTGGAGGTGAATCCAGTCATGCGGAACGAGATTAAGTTCTCTGCCTACAGGAAAGTGCCCATTCTCCTTGCCAGCACTGGAAGCACAGTGGTGAGTTTCTGGTTTGGCAATTTAAGCTCCTTGGTTTATTTTACCTGGTGTGCCTGTCGCAGGGGGTGCAGAGAAGGGCCTAATATTCTACGGGGATTCATAGTGTGTTTTAATTATGGATTTTTATACTTTATATATTATATATTTCATAATCAACAGGGGTCTTGAACCCTGGTCTCCTAAGTCCCAGTCCAACATGCTAACTAATACCACCACCACCCCTGCATGATCTTTCGCTTTGGAAGTCTGAAGACAACATCATTCACCTTTTTTAATTAAAAAAAAATTGGTCAAGCGCCAGTGAACAATAACTGACTCGTTTTATTTGGAGCATGTAAGCTCGCATTAATTTTATTGTATCTACCTGATATTATTATGGTGTCTACCAAAGCAATGTAATGCATTCAAATACAGGATCAAAACCCTAAAGCAGAGCTTTCCAAACGTTTCATGTTGATGACACATTTTTTAGACATGTGTCATTTCGCAATACAGTAATTCCATTTCATTAGCAAACTGGAGATTCAATTAATCTCTTTCCATTCCCGGAAGGAGCGCAGGGAGTGTTCACACGACACATCTATAAACTGCAGCCAATGCACTTAACTTGTTGTGGCACACAGTTTGGAAAGCTCTGCCCTAAAGACAAAACCTCTTCTAGGTTTGGTACCTACATGGATGGATCAAGTTTTTGTGTAACACTGTGCTTCGCTCTCTCCCCCCTCATCCCCCAGCAATTGAATGACTCTTCTGTGATCATCAGTGCATTTAAAACCTACCTCGTTTCCAGGTAAGGGGTTTTTAAAATAAGAATAAAATGCTGAGCTTATTGCAAATAAAACCATCCTTATATGTCTACAGATTGGTTTTTGTATCCCTTTATGATTTTAGGGATTTGGGGCAGTTTTAGGACTTGCCCCAAACACAAACTTGTCTGAAACTGGAAACTAGTAGGGTGTTCCCCAGGTTGGGGTTTTGTGTATGTGCAGCTCTTGAAACTAACAGATTACATTATCCATTTATGAAGCTCAGGATTTTATTTTTTGTTTCTTAGAATTCTTAAGCAATGCTGGGTATTTTCAGCTAGTCTGCTATATATTTTGGAAGGTTCACTTGTACGGACGCCATTTTGAACCAATATGGCAGACGGAACCTTTCAAAACAGCACTGATTCTCTTGTTGTTTCTTCCAAGTTTTTGAGCAACACTAGGCACTTTCTGTTGGTGCCCAGAAATGATTGGTCAGAGTTAGTCTAACGTAGCCATTGTCTTATTTCAGGAGATGTTCTTATTGAACCCCTCTCCTTCTGTCACTGCCTGGTCATGGGATGGGGAGGATGGAATATAAAGTGTGTGGTTGTTCTTTGACTTCTGCTTTTATTTCCCTAGGAGGAGTTTGGACGAGATTATGTCATACTACCCTGCTATGAAAGCCACAAATGACCGGGGCAAGGAGGTGATTGAGTATGGCAACAAATACTGGCTTATGCTGGATGAAAAGGAGACTCGGAATCTTTATCCTGTCAAGGAAGCAAGGGTGTAGGTATTAACACAGAGACCCTTCATTAGACAACACAGCCTTGATTCTGTTGCCCCATGGCTGCTATTGTATAAGGAAAAACAGTTATGCAAGCTGTCCTTTTGATTATCTGTGTGTTCAAAAAAGTATGGGAGTCCCCACCCAAATTATCACTTCAGAATGTGAGTGGGGATGGTTTGATTGCATGCTACCCTGTCCCAAAAATCAGCTTATTGGAGAAAAATGTTATACAGTGGTACCTCGGGTTACATACGCTTCAGGTTACAGATGCTTCAGGTTACAGACTCCGCTAACCCAGAAATAGTGCTTCAGGTTAAGAGCTTTGCTTCAGGATGAGAACAGAAATCGTGCTCCGGCGGCGCGGCAGCAGGAGGCCCCATTAGCTAAAGTGGTGCTTCAGGTTAAGAACAGTTTCAGGGTAAGTACGGACCTCCGGAATGAATTAAGTACTTAACCCGAGGTACCATTTACTAGGATCCTTCTCAGCAGGCTTCCAACTGATGTGGGAAATTCTTGACAAAGATGAGCATATGATATCAGCAGTTGTGCTGGGATGTAAGGATTCCCGGGACCCCTGAGGTATCCTGCATCCAAGTTGTTCTGGGCTTTGTAAATCAATATAAGAACCTTGAACCTGACTTGGTAGCAAATGGGCAGCTGGAGCAGCTGTTTTAACAGTGGCATTGCATGTTCTCACAACTAGAAGCTCCCATCAGCAGTCTGGCTGCAACATTCTGCACCAGCTGGAGCTTCTGAAACAGACCCATCGTGTGCCCCGGAAGCATTTACTGTGTAAAACAATAAGATGGTAAAAAATTGAAATAAAATATATATGACGGTGAACTCAGTAATGTAAAACATTATGTGTATTTTCTCATACCTTGTTGCCATAGTGCACAGTAAACATGCTCTACTTTTCTATAAACAAATTATTTTGTCTTTCGGAAGCAGACTCCTCCCCCCCCCCCACCCCCCGGCCAAGTCTTGTGCTGATCTTATTATTTATTTCATAAAATGTGTGTACATTTTGATGGTAAGACAAAACAATCTCAGAGTGGTTTAGCTGTGATCGGTTCTTATCTGTGTTTTGGAATGTGGTGCTGGGATCAGCCACTGTGTTGTTCTTTGGATATTGTTAGACTCCAACTCCCATCAACCCCAGCTAGCGTGGCCAATGGCCAGGGAGGGTGGAAGCTGTAATCTCAACAATACCTGGAGACACCACGTTGACTTCTGATCTGTAGAACCATAGAATTGCAGAGTTGGAAGGGACCCTGAGAACCATCTAGTCCAGCCCCCTGCAGTGCAGGAATAGGCAGCTGTCTCATACGAGGATCAAACCAGCAACCTGGTGTTATCAGCACCACATTCTAGCCAACTGAGCTATCCAGGCTAATAGTTTAGTTTTAAGGGACTTTACAACCTGGTGGCACCATTTATCTCCCCACCCGGCTTTATCCAGCTCTTTGTCGTCAATCCCACGTGCAAAAAATGTCTCGGCTTTTCCTGTCTTGTTTGCAGGGAGGAAATGAAATGGAGGCAGTGGGCGGACGATTGGCTTGTGCACCTCATCTCGCCCAATGTTTACCGCACGGCTGGCGAGGCCCTGGCATCTTTCGACTACATAGTGCATGAGGGCAAGTTTGGCACAATCGAAGGCTTCTTTGCCAAATACGTTGGGGCTGCTGCGATGTTCTTCATCAGCAAAAGGCTAAAGGCTAGGTTGGTGCTTCTGAAACGTTAAGGCTCAAGGGTAACATCTTCATATTATCTTCCGCTTCTTGACTTCAAGGACAGCCAGACTGCTGTCGGTTGTTGAGGCTAATCAGGGGCGGCCCATCCCATTTTGCCCCATGGAGAAACCAAGTAGCAATGTAGTACGCAGGAACGCCCGGGCTCTTGCAGAACTTGGTGGGTGCCAATGCGTTCTCTAAACCATGGGTAGGCAAACTAAGGCCTGGGGGCCGGATCTGGCTCAATCGCCTTCTAAATCCGGCCCTTGGACGGTCCGGAAATCAGCGTGTTTTTACAAGAGTAGATTGTGTGCTTTTATTTAAAATGCATCTCCGGGTTATTTGTGGGGCATAGGAATTCGTTCATTTTTTCTTTCTTTCAAAATATAGTCTGGCTCCCCATAAGGTCAGAGGGACAGTGGACCGGCCCCCTGCTGAAAAAGTTTGCTGATCCCTGCTGTAAAGCATAACTGCCCAGCTTCTGCAACCAGGGGTGGGGGAAATGAGTGGCCGTGTCACATGCCAGAACACCTCCCTCTCGCCGCCACCACGGGAAGCAGTGGGGCAGGCAGAGCTCTTCCTCTTGCACTTTTGCCACTGGGGTTCCTTGATATGGTTCCCTTTTATGTCTGCTTGTGTTTGACCAAGTCATTAACCTTAATATCTGGCACCTATTTAAAAAGCAAGGGGCCTTAGGAATTATTCCTGAAGTCAGTGAGATGATGATTCATCATGATGTACAGCAACCCTCCAGCTTTATTTTGCTGAGTAATATGGGAACACATTTATATGCTAACTTCTTTATTTACTTGGAAGATTTTGTATCTCACCTTTTTTGCCAAGACACCCAAACTGCTTTACAAATTTGAAACACTAAAAGAATATAAAAGTGGGTCCTCTCATGCTGATTGAGAGCCGGTGGTACAAGCTGCCTGGCGCTGAGCTTGTCTATTCGGTTCATATGTTAGTGGTCTTAATATTACACCTGATTGCCTCTGTTTGAATTTATGTTCTTGGCAAGACCTGATGGCTGATCTGTCTTCAGGATCAGCAGTCCTTCTTCACTTTGCTCAGGAAGCTTCAGTTGCCGTCCCACCTAGATAATCATAAAAGGATCCTAGATGGAATCGTATTCTAGAGTAGACCCATTGCAGTCAATGCTCGGGTCTAACCTAAGTCCATTTATTTCAGTGAATCCACTTTGAGTGTGACTTAGCCAGAGACAGCCCTTTTTCTGTTATCCTCTTTAAGATTCAGAATCCTTACAAGGATACTGTGATATTGTCATGAATGGGTAGATTTGGGTAGTATCCAATGGTAGCCCTATTAAATTAATGGACATTACTAACTTTGGTAAGAACATAAAAGCCTTCTGCCTCACGCCAGTGGCCCATCAAGTCCAGCTTCCTGTTCTCACAGTGGCCAACATCATGTCCATGGGAAACCTGCAAGTGCAACCTGGACAAGAGCACTCCCCTTCCCCACAACGGGTAACATTGATTAGAGTGGGTCTACTCTGAGTAGAACTTAGTTACCCATAACCCATTATTATGAATTCCAGTGTGTTATTTTTTTCCGTAATTCGCTTTGCCTGCGGGAAGATTTGAAAAAAATCTAATGAATTAACTAAACTGATCGTATGTCTCTGTTTTTAGTTTTGTTGCTTCTTATCCCTAGACTTGGAATCCTAACCCCCCCCCAAAAAAAAAGTTTGCTGTTTTGCAAGCCGTGTCTAAGGTTGAAGAAATGTGAATGAAGAAAATTCATCAGTTGTGGAAGCTTTAAAGTCATCTCCTCCCCCCCCCCCCCAATTCTCTCTTTGCAGGCACCACCTGCAGGATAATGTCAGGGAAGACTTGTACAAAGCAGTGGACGACTGGGTGGAAGCTGTCGGCCACCACAGAATGTTCATGGGCGGATCCCAGCCAAACCTTGCAGATCTGGTAAGAGCCTGGCAAGTGGCCATTGGAAACCACCACCATTCTGGGGAGGAATGGTGGCAGGCTAGTCATCGACTGCTGACACTCCCATTGTTGTTTAGTCATTTAGTCATGTCCAATTCTTCGTTACCCCCTGGACCAGAGCACACCAGGCACTCCTGTCTTCCACTGCCTCCCACAGTTTGGTCAAACTCATGCTGGTAGCTTCAAGAACACTGTCTAACCATCTCGTCCTCTGCCGTCCCCTTCTCCTTGTGCCCTCCATCTTTCCCAACATCAGGGTCTTTTCCAGGGAGTCTTCTCTTCTCATGAGGTGGCCAAAGTACTGGAGCCTCAGCTTCAGGATCTGTCCTTCCAGTGAGCACTCAGGGCTGATTTCCTTCAGAATGGATAGGTTTGATCTTCTTGCAGTCCATGGGACTCTCAAGAGTCTCCTCCAGCACCATAGAGATAATTAGGCAGTGATTAAAGGCAACCAAGGTATAAATCTTGATTGCCAAAACTTCCTTTTGAGATAAGTGGGGACAGAGATTAACCCCTCATGCTCAGAAGACATTCATCACACTGGGAACAAAGAAGTTTTCAGTGCGGAAGAAGTGGGGGAGTAGGGATATTGTCCAGTGACACTCGTTGTGTCTTCCCATCCCCCGGCGGTGAATGAAATTTAGTGAGACATGCCGGTATATCAGACAAAAAGCCACGGTTCCGAATGATACAACAGGTACTTCAGTGTGAAAGAGAAAACAGGGCGGAAGTAATTGTATTCTGGAAAACTAATGTAGTGTTCTGCACAGGCTTCTGCCAGCTGGGGGAGGGCAAGGCACTTTGGGGAGGGGGCCCCAAAGCTCTTAAGGAGGGAGCTGGGCCCTCTCAGTATTGGGTGGTAACTTTGCGTGGCACTTCAGTACATCACATTCTGTTGGTCCCCTCAATGGTGGGGGCACGTTGGCACCTCTGGTTCTGCATATCTGAAGGCACCAGGCCCCAGCAAGGCTCAGAGGGTGATCGGTGGGCCTCCTTCAGGACTTTGGCATCATAGAATCATAGACTTGGAAGGGACCCCAAGAGTCATCTAGTCCAACCCCCTACAATGCAGGAACATCAACTAAAGCATCCCTGATAGATGGCCACCCAACCTCTGCTTAGAAACCTCCAAGGAAGGAGAGTCCACCACCTTCCGAGGGAGACCGTTCCACTGTTGAACAGCTCTTACTGCCAGAAATTTCTTCCTGATATTGAGTTGGAATCTCCTTTCTTGTAACTTGAAGCCATACTGACTCGCTTATGCTGGATCCAGTTTAGGTGACACAAGCAGACCATGGCTTAGTTGCCAGCACTGTATTCTGGGCTTGTGTGTTTACTTCCTTGCCTGCTTCAAGGTTCAGTATAACTGCTTGCCATTGAACTTGAATCAGGGAATGCAATGGTTACTGCAATGCATGGATTGCCTCCAAAACAGAATTGGAAGCCAGCTGGCGTTTCTGGCAAACTCTGCTTTGCTGCAAGCCATGTTTGCCAGTTCAGGCAGGCAGTGGCTAACGGTGGTTGTTGCAAGCTGGGAAGGGCAGGGAGGTAACATTGAGTCCATTAGCATGTCTACCAAGGGGACAGTCACAGCACCAAACTGTGGCTTGGCTGTGATGTCAACTCCAAGCCATCCATTACCACTGAGTTAAAGTTGTGACTGGAAAGATGCAACACAAACTAGGCCTTTAGTAGAAAACGAAAGCTATGTCCAGAGGGAAGATGGGATCTGTTCCCTTTAAAACAGGGAAGTTGCTCTCCTTAACTTCAGTGCTGTGAAGGAGGCAAAAGAGGGAGTTTGAGTATTTCCACCACAGGTCTCTAGGGCTTTGAAGCACCCTTGTATGAGGGTACCCCAATAATTACGGGGTGTCCAAAATAGGGAATAGGTTGCTGGGGTCCTCAGTCTGATCCAGCAACGCTCTTCTTACGCTTCTATACTCCGAGTCTTTGTCCAGTCCCTCCTTCTGAAGGTCTTCTTAGTTATGAGATGCTGGGAATTGAAAATGGAAGCTTCTGCAAGACATGTGTTTTCCCACTTGTAGCTGATGTTCTTCTCACCAGTTTTCTTCTCTGTTCTGTCTGCACAGGCGGTTTATGGAGTTTTGCGCGTCATGGAAGGCTTGGAAGCTTTTGATGACATGATGACCCACACCAAGATCCAGCCTTGGTACCGTCGTATGGAGGCAGCCATTGGGCAGTCCAGAGTTGCCACACAGCACTCCAGACGCTAAAAACAACCCTTGCATTGACCAGGAACAGCTCATAAAGCAAAGCAGGACTTATTTATTTTTTAAATCCAAAGCCAAAAGGGGTGTATGCAATGAGAGTCCACCACCAAAGGGGTCTTGGAAAAAGCAGTGGAACATGACGCATGGACTATTATTTGTAGAAAGCCTTAAGGGTATCATACTTGCTGAGTGAATTTTGATTGTTAGGCCCTTACTAGGCCCTTCTGCTTTGGGATTTGACTTTGTTTTTCCAAGTGTGTAAAAGAACCTTGTCTGTCTGCAAAATATTTGCTTGGTCCTGGAGGAGGTGGAAGAAGTAAGTGTTTTGCTAGGGGTTCATTCTGCTGGTGGGAAAGAGTCTGCTAGTTTGCAGGACACTGAGTCCTTCTTGTTCAGAGTGAATAGATCTGAAGCCACACTCTCGTTGCTGCTTTTCTCTGGGTCCTGTATGGCATGTGGGAGTTCTTCATTACCAGACAGTTGACCCAGAGAGGGTAACACAAACAAATAAAGAACAGTTAGCAAATAGTGTGCAATATTTATCTGAAGCAGGTGCAGGGAGAAGGCTGAAGTTTCTGGAAATGTGCCTTTGGGATAAAATAATGGTATTCTAGGAAAGAATGAGAACAGAAAATCCTTTACTCTTGCTACCCATCAAAGGGATCTGTCAGAATTTCCAGATGAAAGGCAATTCCTTTTTAAATAAGGTGTGGGTTGTAAAATGTGGGGATGGCACACATCTGTGGTGTTCTGCCATGTAAAAGATTGTCTTATGTGGCATGTTAATGTTGGAGAAGGGTTGTAAAGTGTGAAGCATCCCCCACACTTAGGAGGAGCACATGCAAGTTCTGTTCTTAAACCTGTTCAACAGACACGGCACACTTTGCAAAGCCTGGGCAAAGGGTTTCAGTTACTTAGTTCTTTAGAGGGGGAGGAAAGGGGGATACAAGTGACAGCTCAATTAAAGTCAATTAAGTTTGTAAACTAGAGTTTCTTCAATGCAATTTGGCCTTTATTCGAGTCAGAGGCATACCTAGGTCCCTTGCACCCTTGGCAAGGAGCTGTCTTGGCACCCCCCCCAAAAGAAAAACACCACTTTACTGCACTAGCCACATGAGAAATTCCTATATTTTTATGAGACCCAAGTACTCAAAGGATCTGGTAGAAGGGTGAGACACGGAGGAAGGGTGAAAGGTGCAGGAGCAAACACATGTACACCATACACTCCATAGTCTGATAGGTGATTTTTGCACCTGGTGGGGGCTTGTTCCACCAACCCTTAGGGTTGCACCACCATGTGCAGTAGGGCTTACTTTCAAACAAATGCACACACAAGGTTGTGCTGCTGTTGACACATGTTCTGCTTTGTACATCCTGATCCTGAATCATTTTGGGATTGCAACCCTGGATACGTACTCTGGTGTAGCTTCGCTGCAGAATTCAGATATGCAAACTCTGTCTTGGATAAAAGTATTGGTGTCAGTTGGGCTACTTGAAAATAAAGGTTTTCTTTTGATGGTAGAGCTTTCAGTGTCCTTATTGATCAGCTTTTATAACATGAAGCTAGCACATCTGATTACATTTCTAGACCAAAATATTCCTACTGGGCTGGTTCCTTTGTAAGTGAACAGAGAACTTGCCCCTAAAATGTAACTTGCATTTATTCTTCCAATCCCTTTTTATCTGGTTTAATGCTGGTATCTTCTGGAGTTAATCTTGCATCCTTTCTCATCTCTTCAAAGCATTCTTCCTCCATCCCAGCGCTCCAGTCCAAAACACACAGGCTGTATCTTCACATAATGCTAAGCCAAAAAGTGTGGCTTGTTTGACGGTGCATGCTGCCTGAGCACTCCCACTTTGCTCCTCTTTGCCACCAGTGCCAAAACAAACCACAAACTGATATCCAAATCGGGGATCATTGTATGTTTCATACTGAAACAAACCACCATCATTAGCCAGCTTGAAGCCATGGTTTGTTGTTGACTTTGCAATCAAGGTTTGTTAGGGCAAAACAAACTATGACCCCCAGTTCATACATTTTTTTTATTTGTTTGCTTGCTTGCTTGTTAAATTTATATATCACCCTTTTTCCGAAGATCTCAGGGTGGTTCACAGAATAAAATAACAAGATAAAACATAGTAAATAATTAAACCAAATCAACAAAACAATACCCACCCCGCTTCCCACAGATACACTTAAAAGGCTGTAGGCCAAAGGCCTGGTTGAAGAGGAATGTTTTCATCTGGCGCCTACAAATATATAATGAAGGTACTAGGCAAACCTTCGTGGAGAGAACATTCCACAAATGGGGAGCCACTATAGAAAAGGTCCATTCTTGTGTTGCCACCCTCCAGACCTCACGTGGAGGAGACACATGAATAATGGCCTTAGATTATGAACACAGAATCCAGGACGGCTTATATGGGGAGAGGCGGTCCTTAAGGTATTGAGTTGTTAAAGGCTTTATAGGTCAAAACCAACACTTTGAATTGGCTTGGAAGCTGATTGGCAGCTAGTGCAGTTGGACCAGGATTGGTGTGGTATGCTCAAACCATCTTTCCCTGGTGAGCAACCGGGCCACCAAATTCTGCACCAGCTGAAGCTTTCGTACAATCTTCAGAGGTGGCCCTATGTATAATGTGTTGCGGTAATCCAACCTAGAGGTTACCAGAGCATAGACAACAGAAGTTAGACTATCCCTGTCCAGATAGGGGCACAGTTGGGCCACCAGCCAAAGCAGATGGCAGGCACTTCAGGCCACTGAGGCCACCTGAGCCTAAGCAACAGCAATGGATTGAGAAGTACCCACAAATGGTGTAGCTGCTCTTCAGAGGCAGTGTAACCTCATCAAGAGCAGGCCACCTCCCAGCTATCCAGTTTAGGGAAAAGCCTACTAACAGTGTCTCAGTTTTATCTGAATTGTGCATCATCCATTTGTGCATTTATCTGAATTTGTGCATTTATCTGAATTTGGCTCTCCTCCAGTCAGTTACTGAGGCAAGACACTAGTCCAGCACATCCACTGCCTCACCAGCAGATGTAAACAAGAAGTAGAGTTGTGTGCTGAAATACACTCTGAGCTGAGTGTTGATTTCATGCTCTTTCTGATTCACTTCCTCTTGGAGCCAGATTGGGTGGCTCCTGCAGACCAATCAAGTTGCTGCCTTCTAGGATCCTACCTGCCTATTGTTCTAAGATCCAAGCTCAGTACATAACATATGCCCTCAGCATATTGCTGACATACTCCAAAACTTAGGATGACCCCACTCAGCAGTTTCATGTAGATGTTAAATAGCATGGGGTGCGGGATTTAGCCCTGAGGAACTCCACATTGAAGGCTCCATGGGGCTGAAAAGCACTCCCCAACCATCACTCTCTGGGAGTGAGCATCCAAGTAGGACTGGAACCACTGTAAAGCAGTGCCACCAACCCCCAACTCAGACAGCCTCTCCAGAAGGATACTATGATCAATGGTATCAAAAGCAGCTGTGGGGTCGAGAATTAACAGTGACCTATTTCCCCGGTTAAACCACAGAGCCTAGGACTTGCTGATCAGAAGGTCGGTGGTTTGAATCCCCATGACAGGGTAAGCTCCCGTTGCTTGGTCTCTGCTCCTGACAACCTAGCAGTTTGAAAGCACGTCAAAGTGCAAGTAGTTACAGTGGTGCCCCGCAAGACGAATGCCTCGCAAGACGGAAAACTCGCTAGACGAAAGGGTTTTCCGTTTTTCGATGCGCTTCGCAAGACGCAATTTCCTATGGGCTTGCTTCGCAAGACGAAACGTCTTGCAAGTTTGTTTCCTTTTCGTAAAACCGTTAATACCCAGGGTGCATTGCTTGAAGAGGTGCAGTTGCGACTTGACTTCGAGGAGCAACACATTGCACGTGGTGTGGTAGCCTTTTCTGAGGTTTTTGAGGACTTTGCTGATTTTTGAAGCTTTTCCAAAACTTCTTTTGCAGCCATTTGGTAAGTTAAACTTTTAAAACTTTTTTGTGGGTTTTTGGATTTTGGGTTGGGGTGTTTGGAATTCATGGACTTGGTGTTGGGGAGAGGTTTGCAAGAATCTGGGAGCTTGTGTGTTTTTTTTCTGCATTTTTATGATTTTTTGTGACCATTGGGCCACTCTGCTGTTTTTTTAAAAAAAAATTCCGGGTTTGAATTTCTGTGTGGTGGGTGGCTGAGGGAACAGTTGAGGAGGGGTTTGCAAGAATCTGGGAGCTTGTGTGGTTTTTTTTTTGAATTTTTATGATTTTCTGTGACCATTGGGCCATGTTGTTTTTTTTTTTTTAAAAATCTGGGTTTGAATTTCTGTGTGGTGGGTTGCTGGGGGAACAGTTGGGGAGGGGTTTGCAAGAATCTGGGAGCTTGTGTGGGTTTTTGTTAATTTTTATGATTTTCTGTGACCATTGGGCCATGTTTTTTTTTTTTTTATTTCTGGGTTTGAATTTCTGTGTGGTGGGTGGCTGGGGGAACAGTTGGGGAGGGGTTTACAAGAATCTGGGAGCTTGTGTGGGTTTTTTTTGAATTTTTATGATTTTCTGTGACCATTGGGCCATGTTGTTGTTTTTTTTTAAAAAAATCTGGGTTTGAATTCCTGTGTGGTGGGTGGCTGGGTGCTTTTGAATTTTTTGGGTGTGAAGCACTGGTGTTTTTTTTTCCTGAGTTTACGAAGCTAGGAGCTGTGCTGCCATGGGACCCAAGAAGACTGCTGCTGCAGAGGCCGGCGAGAGGAAGAAGGAGAAGGTGACGCTGGAAATGAAGAAGGAGATCATCCGGAAGCACGACGGTGGAATGCGTGTGACAGACCTCGCCAGGGAGTACGGCAGGAACCCATCGGCACCATCCTGAAGACTGATGCAGCCAAGGGAGTCACCAGGATCGTGAAGAACCGCCCAGCTGTTCTGGAGGAGGTCAAGAAGTTGCTGCTCATCTGGTTAGAAGAGAAGCAGCGTGCAGGGGACACAGTGACTGAGGCCGTCATTTGTGAGAAGGCCAAGGCCTTGCACGCAGACCTCGTCCGGGAACAGCCAGGAACCTCAGGCGAGCCAGAAGTCTTCAAGGCAAGCAGAGGCTGGTTTGACCGGTTCAAGACGAGATCTGGAATCCACAGCGTGGTCAGGCATGGAGAGGCTGCCAGTTCTGATGTTCCTGTGGCTGAAGACTTTGCATTGGAGTTCCTGGAGGCTGTGAAGACGGAGGGCTACGTTCCACAGCAGGTCTTCAACTGCGACGAGACTGGGCTGTTTTGGAAGAGGATGCCCAAAAGGACTTTCATCACTCAGGAGGAGGCCAAGTTGCCTGGCCACAAGCCCATGAAGGACCGTCTGACCCTGCTCTTCTGTGCCAATGCAAGCGGCGACCTGAAGATCAAGCCCCTGCTGGTGTACCACTCGGAGAACCCACGGGCCTTCAGCTGAAAGAATGGATGCTCCTCGAGAATACAGACATCTTGGACTTAGAAGGTTTTAACAATACATTTGGTTGGCATGCATATTTATGGTATGATAAAATCAAGGTGCATAAGGCCTTTAAAAATCATATTGTCAGGAAAGCATTATATAACGTTTGGATAAGATATAAAGATTTGGTGGAAAGTAAGACACCTAGATGGTTGTCACCTTTGGAAGCCACGGCGTTGAAAAAGCTTAATATGGAAGCCGAATGGCTAAAGTATCGGGAAATTTTGGAACAAGATGGAGATAAGTTGAAGCTACAGAGCTACGAGAAATTGAAACCCAAAGTACGAGATTGGCTCCATTATTATCAAATAATGGAGGTGTATAAACAAGACAGGAAAATTGGCTTCCAGGTGGAGAAATCAAAATTAGAAACTGAACTGTTAGAACCCAATACTAAGAACTTGTCAAGAATGTATAATTTGCTGCTGAAATGGAATACACAAGATGAAACAGTTAAATCAGCTATGATTAAGTGGGCACAGGACATTGGTCATAACATTATGTTTGCTGACTGGGAATGGTTGTGGAACACCGGTATAAAATTTACGGCATGTAATGCCATAAAGGAAAATATTATGAAAATGATCTATAGGTGGTACATGACTCCAGTCAAGCTAGCAAAAATTTATCATTTGCCTGATAATAAGTGTTGGAAGTGTAAAGAAACTGAAGGTACTTTTTATCACCTTTGGTGGACGTGCCCAAAGATTAAGGCTTTCTGGGAAATGATATATAATGAATTAAAAAGGTACTTAAATGTACTTTCTTGAAGAAACCAGAGGCCTTTCTCTTGGGCATTGCCGCCAATTGGTATCAAAGAAAGACAGAACTTTTTATGTATGCTACGACAGCAGCAAGAATACTCATCGCAAAGTATTGGAAGACAGAAGAACTACCCACCTTGGAAGAGTGGCAGATGAAGGTTATAGACTATATGACATTGGCGGAGATGACCGGCAGAATTCGTGAGCAGGGGAAAGAGACGGTGGAAGAAGATTGGAAGAAATTTAAAATCTATCTAAAGAACTATCATAAAATTGAGGAATGTTAAAATGTCGAGGTT